AAACGCCTCACAAACTTATTAAGATCAACAGCTTTAGTGCGTTTTGATTCAATGCTGAGTACAGCCAAACTTGACAGTCTCTTCTCTCTCATTGTAGACCGCAAATACCTCATTCCTTCCGTCTGCTTGGGTCCGAATCTTTATATATACGGGGTGTTTCTCAATCACGAGTACGCTTGCTTGGTAGCACATGTCTGCCGAGCATCTTGCTTCAGAAGCGAGTCAAGAATACTTCCTGGCATTCGGAAAACGAAGTGTGGAACACGCTAGCAAGTGTGCAGGTGTGCGTCATATGAGAGGCCCCGCCTTACATCTTCCGCCACAGATTTGGGGAAATTGGTCCGTGCGCAAAGCATTGTGGGGATTTTAAGACCGCGGAGTCTACTCATGTGCAGCCTCGATATTTCTCCAAACGGAGTACGCCAGGCTCGGTAGATTTCCAAGTATGCTGGAGATTGGAACAGTACTTCGGCGGCACTCGATGACGTAGTATGCTTGAAATAGTGGCTCTGAAGCAGCTTTACTCGCGATTGTCTATGGTCCGAATGCTTCTCGTTTTGCGTCGTCCCCCGTTCAAATGAAATCGCCGCCAATCATATTTCGACACTCGCGCCAGGGCCGGGGGAGGGGTTACAAGACTCACGATTTTCTCTCATAAATGTCCGATGAGCCACAACTTTTCTTTCAAAACAAAGATGCCAACTGGGGTGGCAGCTGGGGTGGCAAGGCTATTTTTTAGGGTGGTAGTTGCCACCCCGGTAGATCCGCCCCTGTTAATAGACGAGGTGATTTACAGGGGTCAAAACCTTTTCTCATGTGTCATACTGACGGTTGAGTTGTCAACAGGAAAACCTGTAACCCTTTGACTTTCAGCGCACTCAAGGTCAACAACTGAGCCTGGTGTTACTGTCAGAAATGTTGAGGTGTAATCTGATATGCTGGAACATATGAAAGGTGAAAGTGATAAAAAAGAAAATGATCAGACACCATCATTTACTCATTTATTTGTTTAAAAAATATCAAGACCATGTAATTAGAGAGAAAGACATTTTTCAGTACACATTTGGATCTTTATTGTTAATGTGAGCCAACTGTAAACCTTGGCAGGATCAAACTGGAAACATTTTGATTTAATTTAAACATTTAATTTAAATAGTGAGTTACAGTATAGGTTTAATCTTGAAGAGAAAAGGTTCAGCGAGATGGTGAACTTGCTTTTTCTGTGCAGAAAGGCAATTTTGAGAAAAATCCAATAAAAGCAATGAATGTTGTTAGAGTTGAAACATTTGTAATCTTCCATGGAGGGGCCCTGCAGAAAATGTTTGGGAACTACTACTACCATAATCAATTATTCATTCATAATCAGTTAAAAAAAACTTGCAAATGACTGTATAAGCCAAAATATATTTGGTTAAAAAAAAGATAATGATATGTAACAATATTCTTAACCCCCTGTTTGATGTGTCACTGAAAGGTTGTGTGATAATGTTGGTGATATCAGATTTCAGAGACAGTCCCTTGAAAGCTGAAGTCCTTTGACCCTGCCAGACGACCCCGGTTAAAAAGGTTGTGTCTGCCATCTGTCTGAGCTCGAGGATCATCACACCCTCATAAACAACCACGGAAATAAGACATCCGAGCCAGTATATTGCAACATTTTTGTCATTCTGTTGGTTCGCAAGAGTACAGTGTGAGACTTTAGGGCAAATCATGAATCTAAAAAAAGGGAAAAATTAATCCTCAGACTGTGACAGAGCGCTGTCAGTGGGAGAAACCTGACACGCTTTTCTGTGAAGGCAGATTTCTAGAAGTCATGTAAACTAATGTCGAAGAGTGTAAACATGGCAGCAACAGGGTCTCACTTCCGACCTTTGTACACTACAACTAACAATCATTTTTTAAACATGTATTACTGCCTCTTTTAATTCTACATTTACAAATAATTTGTCCCGAGTCACTGTGAAAAGTTAATGTTGGGACTTATTTGAAATGACTGTTGATACTTAACCTCCTTGTGAGAGTACCAAATGAGATTGCAGTGTTTACAGATCTCCTTCCATCTCATGACTCACATTAAAAATACATTGCTCTGCCCCCCTTGACTTTCCAGACAGTGTTCAAGTTCAATTATATTTCTGAGGCACAATGCCATAGAAATTACAATGGCTCAGACTGTAGACTTGCTGGAAAGTATTAAGTGCAAAAATAAAACGAGGGCTCGGGCAAATACTGCCTGTCTGTTCCTTTGTGCAATGCAACCAAGACAATGCATGGCTGTGGATGCCTGATTTATTCCTCAGTAATTGCAAACATTCTTTGGGATAATATGTGATTAGTCTAAAAACAGGACTTCTTTTCCTTGACCAGTTTTAATGATATGAGGTCAAATTAGTTCTGTTCCCAAGAAAAATGTCACTATGTTAACACCATCGACCACTGCACAATGAACAATGCATTATGACGTTTAGACATTTTGCATTTATGAGTAGTATACGCACATATAATAAAATCCTTGTAACACACCTTAATGTTACAATACAAATAATTGTAATAATAATATCTTAAAGAGTTTTTTAATAGTGTATTCATATTTTACATTCTAGTGTGTCTATATTTGCTGTCTATATTCATACCAGCTCTATATTGTATTCAATTTCTATACTATATACTATATATTTTTTATCCGTCAGTATACTTATATTATACTACACTTTACTGCTTCTTTTGCACTTCTGGTTAAATTATAACTGCATTTACCTTTCTTGGTACTACCTGTGTAATCTCAATAAAGTTGAATCTAATCTTATATAATGTAATATAATAAGAAGACATGAGGCCACCTTTAAATGTTTATTAATATACAGTCATTGTATTAAAAATGTCTCCAATGAAAAGGTTTTTATACCACTCATTACTATGTATAATGTTTTATAACAATACATTATATTTACTTGTAAATATAGCTCATGTATTATAATTGCCAGCCACACCATCATTTTCTGCATAATCCCTTTTATAATGCATTATATATGGATTATAATTTACTCTAAGTGGTGTCTAGATGCTTTAGGAAAATGTATGAGATCCCCGAGTTTTAGGCAGATACAATACAAGCTGGTTTTAAGTCTGTATAACATGGTATGCGTAAAGTAGAAATAATACAGTAAACATAGTACAATGATTTAATAACAGACTAAACAACATTTGATAATGAACAACTGGTGGACACTTACATTTATCTAATGCAATGTTTCACACAGGACTAAATAGACTTTAAATACAGAAAATGCCTTTAAACTATTTGAATGTGACCTTATTAGATATCCTGATAACTTATTATAAAATGCTATTGTGTTATGAATGTGTTTTCCTTTATGAGGGCTTATCATGCATTGTACAAATTAATATAAGTATAACTTGTTTTTGAAATGTTAACTATATTTTTCTTTATTGTCATTCATTCATGAGTTTGATACACCAAACTCACTTCATGTACAAGTTGTTAAGAAATACATTCATATTCAATTAATTAAACACTTCTATAACAGTAGACAATACATTATGCAGTGAGGTGTTTTAAACCATTCATTTACTCCATTTGTAATGATTTGAGGCAGATGTTGTCACATTAACTTCAAAGTTGGCCCTGATCCAAAAGATTTCCACCTTTGCATGTTATAATGAGATAAGTACACGCTTTGGCAGGCTGTATTATCAGTCAAGTGGGGTAGTCAGGTCTTCTTAGAAAGTGTTCATGTCATGGCACTCTGCTGGCAGGATTTCATACTGCATTGTTTTGCAAAAAATACAGTTTTGAATCTGAAGTGCTTTGTGCCATCAGCATTTGTTTGAAAAAAGTTATCTTTCACAGCATGTAAGGTTTTACCGGATACATAAACATCTCCTGGACACGTTAATTAACAACAGAGGAAAATTAAAGCACGGAAAATGTGGGTATTGTTTTTTTCCCATTGCCCTTCCTCCCTTCAGAACAAATCAAATTAAGTTTGGTATTTCATCAAATGCCGACCTCAGTGAGTGTTTCTGCTATCATGAGATATCATCATTTTCACAGGTTCTTAGATTAGCAACTGTTAGGCCCATTACTGCTTCTTTGTCACAGGGAAGACTTGCAAGGCTTCTGCAACAGAATACCAGTGACATATGAGAGCTTCTCCACGGCTAAAGTCGGATCCTCTGCAGTGCCAAGGTGCATTAAAGAGATTACCACAGAGACCCAAACAATGTCTGAACTTCAGTAACCCAATACGCATGCCAGGACAATATTTATGCAAGGTTAAAAAATGCTGCTTTGTAACTGTTCTGATCTATTTATACCCTTTAAATTCAGTCTCTTGTTTAACTGTGTGCATTGAGTGGCACCGTTACTTCTGCTGTAAAATATTTTACTGTGAGCAAATGTCTCCCTGGCCATGTACTGCAGTCATAAAGGACGTTGTGGGTTATTTAAAAAATAAATAAAAATGATACTGATTCATATCATTATAAAAAATATACATCATAGCAAAACTTCACTATAATGATTTCGAGGAAAAGTCCTTATATTAACTTTTCATTTACATTTTTGCCCTAGACTCATGTCAAAGTGACCAGAGTTATTTGTGATGAATGGTCGGCGATGTTTAGCAACAAAAGATACCAGAGATCAGATTAGGAAACAAACTCAAGCATGACGACGTAAAGGTACATGACCAAATAAAGCAAGTCATTGCTGCCGAGTGAACACCGATCTCTCTTTATAAGAAGGGGGCTGGACGCCAGACTGAGACACGACCAGCCACGGTGAGTGTGGAACAGTCTTTTATTAGCAGGAGCATTAGCTTAGTAAACAATGCAGGGCATGCCCTGCATTGTTTACTAAGCTGATGCCATACACCACACCCCCAAACACCACACACTGAATGCTGAACTGTCTGTGCCAGGCTTCTTGTACAGTCAGTTCAATTACAGTTACTAATTGAGACTTTGTTTTTTCTTCAGAACCCTCATTAGACCATCATCTTCTGAGAAGGGAATAAGGTATTTCATTTATTTTACTGCTGTTTCATTTTGTCAAACAATAGCTCAGTACAGAGAAGATACAGTATGTGATAAGTGACATTTTGTTGAATGACTTTATGGTCATGAATTATTAAACTTGTGTGTTAACAAATAAATTAACATAGCTAATGTTGTATCTGACTTAAACAATTATGCCTGCAGCATTGAAATAGCAAATAAATTGGCTCTCCTATTTGTGTAATTGCATTATGACTTGAAATGACAAACTTGTATTCAAGGATAGTTGTGCATGTAACAAGCCATGGCATCTACAAAGATAAACACTTAAGGACACTTTATGCATGGATGATGAGACTTGGTTGATGCAAACAGTACATTTAACTTGTGTTTAACTTTTTCATTATGCATTAAACATAAATAAATAAATGTACCCCTTTACATCTTTCTCTCCTTTTAATTGTAAGATTTATCAAAACGTTAATAGCTTTGTTCATGAGTAAAGTACCATTATGACAAGAGATACAGACTGACTTCAAGTCCTGCTGCCTGTTCTTACCTGCCTGCAGTAAAGACTCACCATGGGGGACGCAGAAATTGAGTGTTTTGGCCCGGCGGCCGTTAACCTCCGGAAGCCAGAACGAGAGAGACTTGAGGCTCAAACAACTCCCTTTGATGCTAAATCAGCGTACTTTGTGACCGAGCCTGCAGAGATGTTCCTCAAGGGGAAACTTGTGAAGAAAGAGGGGGGCAAAGCCACCGTGGAGACCCTCTGTGGAAAGGTAATGTTGATGGCTGTTTTAATTTGCAATGAAAACTGTTTGACAGACTGTGTTTTCTTAAGGGTGAAGTTTATATTGTATATTGGTTGAAATACCAGTGCATCAAGTGCATGTCTTGTGTTGGAACCAAATATGTTTTTTTAAACTGTCCGGGGTGGACACTCATTTACTTGAGTACCATTAGGAGGTACTTGAACTTTAATTAATGCTAATTTATAATTCTTCTGCTGAACAATTTAGAGAAAAATATTGTATTTTTTACTCCACTACATTTATCTTATATTTTTGTTACTAATAAAGAATATCTAAGAATAAAAGCAACAAATGGTTCATCATGTGATATTGTGTACAAATATACTAGGTAAAGATAAGTATATGTATTAAAAAAGAATCTCCTCCTTTACTAGCTGCAAAATAAAAGTGATAAACCAAAATTATAATTAAAAAATATGACATTTATTCTGAAATGGTCCACTGTGCAGAATGAGTATTGTACTTGTTCCTACCTAAGTTTATTTTGATCAAAATACATTTCTGATTTTCAATTAGTAACTAAGGAAAAGTTCTGATTTCATCTACCGCCATAATGAATACCGCCTCGTCTGTGAAAACTGAAGGTCTGTGTTTTTCTTTTCTTGTTACAGACTATCATTGTTAAAGACACTGAAATCTTCCCCATGAACCCTCCAAAGTACGATAAGATTGAGGACATGGCCATGATGTCCCACCTCATCGAACCTTCTGTGCTGTATAACCTCAAAGAGCGCTATGCAGCATGGATGATCTACGTGAGTGTTGTGCAGGAGAGTGATTTATTGTATTGTATGCACATGTATTTGTAAAAAGATTGATCATTCTTTGATATTTCACACTGTTGTAGACCTACTCAGGGCTGTTCTGCGTCACTGTGAACCCCTACAAGTGGCTCCCAGTGTATGACTCAAAGGTTGTCAATGGATACAGAGGCAAAAAGAGGATTGAGGCTCCACCCCACATCTTCTCCATCTCTGATAACACCTATCAGTTCATGCTCCAAGGTATCATTCAGTTCTTAGGCTACAGTCTGTACTCAATGGTCACCCTATAAGTGGGGCTTGTGTTTAACTGTTTTGTGTTGTTTCCACAACAGTTTGTTGTCCTTGGTAAACATGCAGTTTATTGTGACACTAGAACTGTGGTCTCATACAATTCATAATGCAATAATACTTTTTAAGAATATAAATGAATGCAATAACACAATGTGTGTGTGTAAATGTTATTCTCTCAACAGATCGTGAGAATCAGTCAATCCTGATTACGTAAGTCAATTCTCAGGATAACTTATTTAGACTGATATAACACTGATTATTTCTGTGTCTATCATTACTTACTTACACACATTTGTCATATTATGCATTATAGTGGAGAATCCGGTGCAGGAAAGACTGTCAACACCAAACATGTCATCCAGTACTTTGCGACAATCGCAGTGGCTGGAGGAAAGAAAGTTGACCAGAACAAAATGCAGGTAAATGAAATCTGTGCAAAAAAAGTATTGATAAAGCCGACATATTGAATTTAAACTAAAGCGTGACGTTATCTTTTCTGAATGAAGGGTTCGCTGGAGGATCAAGCCAATCCCTTGCTGGAGGCTTATGGTAACGCCAAAACTGTGAGGAAGGACAACTCATCCCGCTTTGTAAGTATTTGCAAACGTAAGTCTTTTTAACATAGGAATGCAATAAGTTACATTTCTAATCTACAGCCATCTTTCAGGGTAAATTCATCCGAATCCATTTTGGATCAACTGGAAAGTTGGCCTCAGCTGATATTGAAACATGTAAGCCTTCATCCGACTATTATCCAGAAGATTTAATCAAAAGACAAACAGTAAAACACTTTATTTATTATATCACCTTTTTTTCCAGATCTGCTGGAGAAGTCTCGAGTGTCGTTCCAGCTGTCTGCTGAGAGGAGCTACCACATCTTCTATCAGCTGATGACCGGCCACAAACCCGAGCTGAGGTCAGACTTTTTTATTTTTTTTTTTATTTATTACCTGCTGTATCGTGTATTTTGCTTTCCATAATTAACCAAATGTAATCTTTTCTCAGACGCTCTCCTATTTACAACCAATCCGTACGACTATCCCATGATCAGTCAGGGTGAAATCACCATCAAGAGTATAGATGACACTGAAGAGTTTATTGCCACTGATGTAAGAAAATGATCAAATCCACACCTTCAAAAATCTGAATGCAATTAGAAATGTTTTCCTTTTTTTTGGAGAAAAAAAACCTTTTTTCTTATAATATTCTTAGACTGCAATCGATATCCTGGGCTTCACTGGTGATGAGAAGCTGGGCATTTACAAGCTGACTGGATCTGTGATGCATCACGGAGCAATGAGGTTCAAGCTAAAGCAGCGTGAAGAGCAGGCCGAGCCCGATGGCACTGAGGGTATGTTGCACTTTGGAAAACGAGGAAAGTTATAAATCTAATCTTTGTATTCTCTATGAAATGACGTCTTCTCACTCAGTTTGCTATTCTTTTCAGTCGCCGATAAAATCGCCTACCTCATGGGCCTGAACTCAGCCGACGGGCTGAAGGCTCTGTGCTACCCAAGGGTCAAAGTCGGAAATGAATTTGTGACTAAAGGCCAGACTGTGCCTCAGGTAACATCTTCCCATACAGTCCTTTCCAATCTCAGATTTGAGTGAACAAATTGGTGAGACTGGCAAGAAAATCCATGAGCTTGAGAAGGGAAAGAAGACAGTGGAAAGCGAGAAAACTGAGATCCAGACAGCTCTGGAGGAGGCAGAGGTAAATATGAATATATAAAAATGATATATGATATTATTTTAAAGGTTTTAGAGCACACGTGTGTAAGAATCATAGTGTATAGACTTGTTTTTTTCTTTACTAACTCTCAGGTTCTGTCCTATAAATACACTGTTCTGTGCTACTTGATAAAACTCACACTTTTTTACAGGCTACATTGGAGCATGAGGAATCCAAGATTATGCGTGTTCAGCTCGAGCTCACACAAGTCATGGGTGAAGTTGACAGACAAATAGCAGAGAAAGACGAGGAGATTGAGCAGATGAAGAGGAACAGCCAGAGAGTGATTGAGTCCATGCAGAGTACTTTGGATTCTGAAGTCAGGAGCAGGCCCTGAGAATCAAGAAGAAGATGGAGGGAGACCTCAATGAGATGGAGATTCAGCTGAGCCACGCAAACCGCCAGGCAGCTGAAGCCCAGAAACAGCTGAGAAATGTTCAGGGACAACTTAAGTACAGTTACTAAAGCTTTTGTGTCATTTTGCTTTAAAAATGAGCTGGAAGTGTTTGTTGATATATAGCTATTCATGTTTTAGGATGCCCAAATTCATCTTGATGAAGCCGTTAGAGATCAAGAAGACATGAAGGAGCAGGTTGCCATGGTGGAGCGCAGGAACAACCTGATGATGGCTGAGATCGAGGAGCTGAGAGCAGCACTGGAGCAGACGGAGAGGTGCCGCAAAGTGGCTGAACAGGAGCTGGTTGATGCCAGCGAGCGAGTGGGACTGCTGCACTCTCAGGTAATTAAAGACAATGACATGTGAAACACCTGACAACTGATAATGACAGTATGCAGTCTAATCCTAACTATTGTTTATTTAGAATACCAGTCTCATTAACACCAAGAAGAAGTTGGAGACTGACCTTGTCCAAATCCAAGGTGAGGTGGAAGACTCTGTCCAGGAAGCAAGAAATGCTGAAGAAAAGGCCAAGAAGGCCATCACTGATGTGAGTCATCTTTACACATTTCTATGTAACTGAACTGAAAGTGTAAGATATAATATTTCAGTGCATGATATTGTATATTTAGCCATTTTTCTACCATATTTAGTTTTAGAGCAGTTGAAACACTAGACTGCAATAGGCTAATATAAAATCTGAACAACATTTCACGCCGCCATGATGGCAGAAGAGCTGAAGAAGGAGCAGGACACCAGCTCTCATTTGGAGAGGATGAAGAAGAACCTGGAGGTGACAGTGAAGGACCTGCAGCTCCGCCTGGATGAAGCCGAGAATCTGGCCATGAAGGGCGGCAAGAAGCAGCTCCAGAAACTGGAGGCTAGGGTAAAGACATACTGTATGATCTGGTTTAAACTTTTGCTTTTATATTAAAATCTTGTGCTTCAAGTAACAGCATACAATGTTAATATTTCAGGTGCGTGAGCTTGAGACTGAAGTGGAAGCCGAGCAGAGACGAGGAGCAGATGCTATCAAAGGTGTTAATAAATATGAGAGAAGAGTGAAGGAGCTCACTTATCAGGTAGGAATACGTCATTCTTCTAATGATTGCTACATCCATCTGAAAAAGTTGCAAATTATTTAATTTCAATCATGTATTCATGTGAACCACAGACAGAAGAGGACAAGAAGAATGTCACCAGACTTCAGGATCTGGTGGACAAGCTGCAGCTCAAAGTGAAGGCCTACAAGAGGCAGTCTGCGGAAGCTGTGAGTCAGAAACAATTACTCTGCATCATCTCATATAAAGCTTAACGCCTTTCCCATCTGGAAACAAAAGAATACAACAACACTTTTTATGTTAGCAATGATGAAGGATACTGACTCGTGTTGAATTTCCTCACAGGCCAACACCCACCTGACCAGGTACAGGAAGGTGCAGCATGAGATGGAGGAATCCCAGGAGCGTGCTGACATCGCAGAGTCTCAGGTCAACAAGCTGAGGGCAAAGAGTCGGGAGATTGGCAAAGTAAGTGAAACACAAAACTCAGGTAGCAACACTTTGCAACACTTTGTAGAAAATCTTAGAGAAAAACAACATAATTGGAAATATTGTTATAATATTATTATATTGTTGACAGTTCAATAATCCACATGCATCAGTAAGCTGCTGAAGCAAGTTTAAGCTACATGTTACATGACAAATATATTTTGTCTCCTATAGCTCGAATGCAACTGATTATTTCTTCTCTCTATCCATTTTAGGGAAAGGATGCTGAAGAATAATCTACAACCTCTTTGAGAGACCAATGAGAATCATACAATATGCGTTTTCATTGAACTGCTCTCACTCAATATTGTAGACAGGGGCGCGGGAAGGGGGGTGCTGAGGGCGCTGCAGCACCCCCTAGTGGCAGGCAGGCAGAGCGGAGCTCCCCTGTCTGCAATTTTATTTTATATATATTTATTTCATTTCATTGTGCCTGAGATTATATTTTATATTATATATTATTATTGAAATGATAATTTAAAACTATATAATACATTATTTTGCTTCAGGGAAGAAAAATAAAAAAGATGTGGAAAAAAAGTTTTTTGTTAGTTGTTAGTCGGCTACTTTTAACGTGACGCACAACAACACAAGTAACTGACATGGCGCAAAAACGTATCTATATTAATATGTAGCCAATAAATTCCACATTGTTGGTAAAATAATGTTTTACATCTTTGTGTGTGCTCGCGTGCTCTATACAGTGCCCGTAATAGTGCCCGTAATAGTGTTCACTGGAGTCCATTGTGATGCCACTGTGTGTGTGTGGTTTTGCCACACACACACAGTGGCATCACAAAACACACACAAGTCTGGTTAATGTGTCAAGTTAAGAGTATGTTAGGTGGGGGACAGCACCCTGGGAACATAGACACTCCTACCTGGCTCTGTCCAACGATAACTGAATCCACCAACCACCACTTTTTAAGTTCACTTATTAACATATAACTCATATAAAAACTAAAGTGTTAAACGTTTAATTTGGTTTAATGCCCTTGAGTATTTCTCAGCTGGTTGCAATACCTCCATGGTGTTTTTTCTTTGCCAAACAGTTGCCAGGCTAAGGGTGGGGGAAATAATCGATACAGCATCGCGATACTTTGCGTGGCGATATTGTATCGATACACGGACGCCAAGTATCGATATTTTATTATATAAACTGTAGCACAGGGGTCGGCAAACCTAGGCACGCGTGCCACCATTGGCATGCGGTACCGTAACCAGTGGCACACTAGGAATAAGTGGAATAAGTGTGCAAAATATTTAAATTGTATTTTCGGATCCTGAATGAGACCGCCGCCAGAGCGCGTCTCCCCCTGCAGCGCGTCTCAACTTTAGTGAACTTGCTGCTTTCCTCCATGATGAAACGATCAGGGGTGTGGTGCTGCCGGAGCGCACCGGACCACCCTTTATTGAAAGTGGACCTATCATGCTATATTTGAACAGATCATGCATTTTAGCCATGCCTCATTTCGCTCAATTTGCACTTTTTTTTAGCTCTGTTTTAGCAAGGGCTGATTCTGTGAGAACAGCACCACCTACAGGCCTGGCATATGTACTACAGCGTCTCCAGCGCTTTCGAACGGCAATGGCCGTGGCTGTCTCCTCCTGATTGGTGGAGTTGGCCCAATAGCCGTAGCGCCACTGTCCTGACGTCAGGACAGTGTTCAAATCTGGATCAGTTTTTATCAGATCCATTGCAGCCCCTTTTTTAGAAATTTGGGTATGGAGGAAAATAGAGAGGGTTGTGTTTTCTGACACTTGGTGAGTTCCCTGGAACACCGGGGACACATATTCATGTATAAAAGACGTACAAAAGTGCATTTTGCATAAATGTGTTTAAACGGCATCATGTAAGTTGCGCTGACAGGCGAAAGAGGTCCACAGCTTCCCCGCAGCGAGGCTCCCCCCGCCCTCCTGTGGACATTCCACTTTATCTTTTGATATCGCCCTATTTAAATGTTGATATCTCCGTTAATATCTGTACTTTATCTCCGTTCTTTTTCTCCGTCCAGTTTTTGCTTTGGAAACAGTAACTTCCTGCTAATAGCGCTAAGTCGCCTTCAAAATAAAAGCATGTCTATATAAAACAGGAAGTTACGTTAAGACATGTACAATTGCAATGAAAGTAACAAAAACAATGCCATCTCCTTTTCAGGTTCATAGAACACAAATTGGGTTATTTACATAAACTATTCATATTGCAAATTAGTGATGGGAATTATGGCTCTTTGAAGGGAGCCGGATCTTATGGCTCCGTTCCTTTGCGAGAGCCGTTCAAAAGAGCCGTTTTTTTTTTAAGGGGGCGGGGTTAATAGGTTTATCTGCGAAATATACCTTTTATGATTCAATCAAATGTAGATGAATTAATGGTTTATATGTGTACACATCACTTAAATTATTCAATACATCCTTTGTACTGAAGTATTCAAAAGTAAAAATTACATTTTTAATATAAAGGATTTGCAGTGGCCAATTGTTTTCATTGCATGTACAGACCCTTGTAACTCTCTGATTGTAGAACCACGCTAAAAAGAAAAGCAAATAGCAACACCTATACAAACTGACAACAAATCTTTGCTGAGCCTAAAAATTATCATAAATAAATAACATTATGAAAATAAATATATTGCAATGCTCAAAACAGCAGCATCCAACAGTCTCTAATCCTACATGCACTGCATGCACGGAGCACGCGTAGCGCGGAGATCATCATATCATTCTGTCTTGTATTACTTAACAACAAAAATGGCTCTTTCGCGGGCGCGAGCCGGCTCCCATCGTTCACTTAAAAGAGCCGGCTCTTTCAGCCGACTCGTTCGCGACCGAAGACGGACATGGATATGAGCCATGTGATTTGCAATATCGCAATATATCGTATCGCAATACTTAGCATTACGTAGAATCGCAATACTATCGTATCGTGGTTAAGTATCGTGATAGTATTGTATCGTGGGGAGCCTGGTGATTCCCAGGCAGACACTGAAAACTCTTAACAAGAACTTGAATAACTCCAATAATTCCCAAAATAGCAAACTAATCTTTACATTGCGCTTTACTCAGTTCAAACTGATAGAAAATTACAGCTTAGAGTTTGGACACATATTCTTTCTATTTTACATTCCTTCTTAATAGTAATGAATTTAAAATAAACATCTTTATTATTATCAGCTCCTGTATGGATCATGGTGTCTCTCACCTCGACCGCTGGGCAGGTTTACCTGTGAAGCAGGGGAAAACAAACTTTAGCAACACAAACAGTATTATCGTGGCACTAATAGCTCACAGAAACATAGGGAGGCAAACGTGCAACATGTAAAAGACAAGCATGCATCCAAATTAAAAACAAGTTGCTAATATTTTCTGTGAGTAAAGCAACCATGTTGTGTGTTCCTCTCTGTGGAGCCATTTCAACAACATTGTGACAAATAACAGCTGTCTCCCACCCTCATCATACTGCACCTGTTTCCTCCCATGAAACCAGACACAACTTTATATCATTGTTAGAAGTCTCGCTCTACTGCACACATAGGAGGCACGCGTTTGCACAGTTACTTGTTTTAATTTGAGTTCTTATCCATAAATAACAACACACAGATATCGTACGTAAGTATATTACAGTTAATGCGAATGCTTTTTTCTCTTAAAAACTCTGTATAAAATGTACTTCTGCTTCGAGACCAACATTACTGTATTCATGTTGGTATATGAACATTAAAGGAACCTGCTTTTAGTCCTGCTACTCTTGTTAGCTTTATTACTACAATGTATCTCAAGTAATTGTATCATAAACAAATTCTAAAAAAAAGAAGAAGGCATTACTTGCTTCACAACATTAAAACAAATAAGCTTAATGCAAAAAAAGTAAACATAATCGTATTTATAAGCCCCTCAACTATACACAAAAAAACTACATTTTAAAACGTTGGACAAGATATCCTCTTACATAAATTGTAAATAAAGCAGTTTTACCCAAAAGGAAGTCATGTTTCTCTGCAGACCTGGTCTCTCCTGAAAGCCTCTTCACTGTCTCTGATGTTCAGCTTATGACAGAACAGCCTCAGAGGTCTGCCTGTTGTAAGAGGCATGAAAAGGACAATAGGATTGTTACTGCTTAGCCAAACACTGATGGTCTGATATCATGGCTAAATCGGACAGTGAATTTGTCTTTAAGCCACATATCGAGGCACAATGCCTGCTGGGTTGAAGGTATGACTAATCCATATATAACACTGAAAGCAGCTGGTATGCAGGCATGCTGCTTTACTGGATGAGAGGAGCCAAAACATAACGCAACTCTCATCCAGAGCTGTTTGTGTCTGTACAAGAATTCAGTGACCTCTCTTCTTTCCCCAGAAGACCTCAGCTTAGCGTTTGATATCTTTACTGACTGATGTGATAGGCAACTGCACTCGAACCGCTTGACACTCGTATTTCCTTTCTGGTCTATGCCAAGCCACCCTAAACTCGTGTTTAATCCTCAACAGCTGAAACACAGTCTCTCTGCATTAGATAATGGAAGGGCAGCTCGCCCAGCACAATATATCCTGGAGTGACACAGAACAGCATTGAAAACCTATAGACATGTGTCATGGAAACAAATAAACTATTTCTGATTCTGAACTTGTCTTTTTGTGGCAGAGTTGGACAAATGTAAATATTAACAAACTGAGATATGGGTTTAAAAAAAAAAATGATGACACTCTTTACGATGCGTAAAAAGAGTGTTTTTATATTTTTACTGATGTACAATCTTGGCACACCTTTTTAATGCAGCAATGTCTCAAAACACTGGAGAAGTAGGCCACACCTCTTTTAATTGGATTTTAGGTTATTTTTTATGAATAATGACATTTTTTGGGGTGAAAATTCAGCATTTTGTCTAATGAAAAGTGTTGATTTAGACCAGGGGTGTCAAACTCAAGGCCCGGGGGCCAAATCCGGCCCGTGGCTTCATTTTCTGTGGCCCCACAAGAGCTTGCAAAGAATATTATATGTTTATTATACGGTTACATGATGATTTACAGAAGCACGTTGCCCATAAACTACATGTCCCACAATGCATCTCAAATTAGACTTTTTTCTTCTAAATATGCTTTTTTCTCAGAATTTGACTTTTTTTTCAAAATGTTACTTTTTTTTTTAAATGTCATTTATTTTTTTCCAGAATATGGCTTTTCTTTTTAAACATTTTGTGACATTCTCACTGAAGAGACTTGCAATTATTTGCCCCAGACTTCTGCTTTCAGACGTAGTTAATTATGAAGTTATTACCCTATCTGATAATAATCCAATGCAGAGGCAATAATGTCATATATAATACATTATTTTATATATATATTTATATATGTATTTTTATATAGTCTTAACGTTACAACCGGCCCTTTGAGTGCAGCCCTAATGCTGATGTTGCCCGCGATTAAATTGAGTTTGACACCCCTGATTTAGACAAAGCTTCTATAGGCGCGTTCACACCGGAGTACTTTTCCCCGTACTTTTCCCGTTTAGTTCCGTTAGTACCCCTTATGTGTACTAACATAACACCAAAAAGAGTACTTAGTGCCGGGAACTTTTACCCCCATTTTTAGTGCCTGCTAGAGGTGGTACTATCCTGGTACCAAAAAAGTACCAATTTCTATTGGCTGGGCGAATTGCAAACCACGCCCCGTAAAACTCTGAAAAGTTTTGTGAAGCCGCCATAGAGTGGCGAAGTCACGCCCATCTACTTCCGCCCCATGGGATCTTATTTCGGAAAAATAATGTATTGAAGTCAATGGAGAGAGAAAACTTATCTTTCGATCCCGTTTGAATTGTGCCATGAATTACACATATGATGTTTGTCAATCTTAAAAAATCATTTCCATGTAAAACTGTTGAAATATAAGACTATGAAAAATACGCAACTAGAAAGACTACAAATCCCAGAGTCGCGTAAGTGATGTCACAATTGTTTTCCTCCACTAAGAGATAGCTAAGATCAGCGCCATATAGATAGAATCTATCTATATGGCGCTGGCTAAGAGAAGATAACTTTAACAAGATGCCTGTGTGCTTAGTACCAGGTTGTTCATACCAGCAATGGGTCTTGCTCGTTCTTTCGCTTCCCGTCTGATGAAAGGACTAGGAGTGTCTGGATCAAGCTAGCTAGTAGCTAGCACGTTAGTTAGCATTACAGCCTTGTCATTTGTATTAGCCTTAACATGAAGTAACATTAAGTAACCCAAAATGTTAAACGGTAAGAGTAGTAGTCATATTTCGTGAACCCTTTGAAGAGTACTGTCACACCGGTGTGATCATTCTATAATACACAATTTAAGCCCGGGGGAGAAATGCTAACGCTAACGCTAGCGATCTTCTCTACTTCATGCTATCTGCACAAATGGTTGACATTAAACATTAAAAAGACCAGGCAGTTCAGAGAGAATCAAAGGAAGGCAGGCAGGCAGCTTTGCATGACTTTCTTCAGGACGTGTTTCATTGTGGTGATAGTGAGGGTAGTCAATCGTTTTGTTGACAAGACAGTAGTGACGGTCATCTTGGTGACGTGTGTTGTTCTGTGAGACCAGAGATGTAGTTCATTGAGCGTTTCACACAAACAAATGTGTTACTTCACAGTTTTACGACACATTTTTTTTTTTTTGACTTGCAAAATTATCTTTTAAATTGACAAACATCATATGTGTAATTCGTGGCACAATTCAAACGGGATCGAAAGATAATCTTTCTCTCTCCATTGACTTCAATACATAATTTTTCCGAAATAAGGTCCCATGGAGGTCCACCGGAAGGGGAGGGACTTCGCCACTCTATTGTATTTGCTGGCATTAGCATTATTAGCATTAGCATTAGCATTAGCTTCTACTGAAGCCAGTCCCCAACTCCGGGGACTTCCGGCCGGGGACTTCGGGCGGCAGTATACGCTGTGAAGTGGTTTGCAGCCTGCCAGTAAACCCAAAGCAGAATAAGACGAAGTGACGCCAGCGGCTCATTTGCGTAATCTTGCCTCAGGGAACTTATTCCGGTGTGAACGCGATTGGTACTTAGTGCCCTGGGGTACTAAGTGCCGGGGCACTAAGTGCCGGCACTAAGTACGGCAAAGTACTTGGTGTGAAAGCGGCTTATGTCATGTGACCAAGTCAATTAAAATCAAAGCAGCATTGTAATATTATGCTGAATTTAAATTGTATATTATTCCAAAAATGTAGTGCATGCATTTCATGTCACTTTGAGTAACTATGTTCTGTGGAGAAAAGATCAGAGAAGAACAATAAGGATTCAGAGGTGAAGTGAAAAATATCAACAGCTTTAATCACCAAAGATATAAACATTTAAATATCCATTTTGTAATGTGACTGACAAAATCTTTACAAAGTTAGCCTTTATCTTCTGCTGACTGCTTCACATTGTCTGTACAAAAATGAGGTGGCATTTGAGACTTTCACAAAGAGAGGAAACTGTCCCGAGTAAACAACGTCAGCAAATTAAAAGCAAAGTTACAGCAAAAAACATTAACATTCTTATGGTTTGATACTCAGTAAATAAAGGACATGGACATACAGTATATAGATTTAGTCTGTTTTGCAATTTTCTTGTAAACGGCTTAGTGAGCCCACACAAGCTTTTAACACATTCAATTCCTTCCTGTTCAATACAAGTATTATTCACAATACCAAAATAAATAAACAAATAATATATAAATGAATTAAATAAGCAACGCTTGAATCTATTTCATAAACAAAGTTAGGTAATAAAGGGTTGTCCCCAAACATGCCACTGCCTTATTTGTTTCTTATACAGCCTTTAAATGCATAAATTATCCTTAGTGGTTTTACGTCACTTTTTCCTAAATAAATGACAAAAGTTGAATCAGGCAGTATGTTGCTCTTAACTATTATCTCCTCTGTGCTTCTACTTTCTGAGAATGACCTACATTTCAAACACTGAGTTATTGTAGGCTTCACTGAAGTCAAACGTTCAGCTTCATTCGGTAACACAGCAAAGACCTCTGAGGCCTCCGCATCAACCCAAACATCCTTCACTTCTCCCTACAGTACTGGAGAGCTGGATGTGGACAGGAATGTAAATGATCCATCAGACTATGTACACAAATCTGTAAATTGTTAAAAATATCATGCAAATAAATACCAGTAATTCAAAACCAAACTACAACACTGACCTCAACAGTATTCATATATTGTAGGCTATAAAGAGTTCAACAAAATGTATTTTCCACAATTCACAACAGTGTTGTTTGAATAATGCAATATGACCTAAAGTTAATACTGCAGGTCTCAGAGAAAAGCTTTTTTTGTTCATTTTCTTTTTAAAGCAGTGTTTTGCTGAGGTCTCCAAACAGTGTTGAGCTAGAATCTGCCTCTCCGGGTTCCCACCATGCTTGGGTACAGCAGAGATGCACAACAGTAGGTATTTCTGTACATAAACATTCACTCGTTTCAGTCAGTCCTAATGAAAAAGTACATTTTTCTGACGGGCTTCAAATATAGAATATAGTGTGCAGATGGGCCAAAGTAAATCTATGAAAATGGACAGTGTCTGTGCTTTGATTCGAGGCTGAACCACAGTGTAAAGATAAACGACACGTAGCAGAAAGAAAGCAGGCTCCTTCTCGTCCCTTTGACAAACATCTGTCCACGAGAAGGCAGGAGGGGAGGCTCGACACACTTCTGTTGTGCTCACTTAAAATGCTTCATAAGTTCATGAAGAGCATCTTTTTTGTTCCTTCACCGTAAAGTCCATTTAGAGCTGGGTCTGTGCAACCATTCAATTCAAGTGTGTCTTTCGCTTGGCCCTGCAGGATGAACGTCCACACATATCAGAGCCAAATGTTTCTGCCATCCAAAATGAGTGCCACAAGGCACTGCAGGGTGGAACACCAGGCAGACTGAGAGAAACTGCATTTTACAAATATTTTGTCAAAAAAGCTTTTAAAAAATATCTCACATTAACTCTTGAAACAGATCAAATGATCCAAACACAAAAAGACATCAGGGGCTTGTTGATCACTGAAGGGAAATGTTTTCAGGATTTGATCATGCAGAACTCCTCACAAATAAGACAGTGATACATGGTTACAAAATACCACTGTCAATTCTTCTTCACTAGAATTCATTTATATAATTTAAATCCCCCGTCAACTAGAGCCACTGTTTTACCACTATGTGCTAAGGAGTCACATTCATCTGCCAAAAGGGGGAAGGTTTTTTGTGATGGCCTTGATTCTGAGTTTTAAATACCAGCAGGATATGTGAAATGCCAAATAGTCAATAGTGTTCCAATATGCAAATATCTGTTGATCAAAAAAGAAAATGAGCAGAGCAATAGATAATGAGGAAAATGGTTACTTCAGCCCTGAAATATGTTTATGTATGCTTTTTTTCTTCTTTGTCTTAATATTAACCTGAAAAAATAGGTTTTTAACCTTGACATATATAGTAAATACATCGATTTGTTCAGAATCCCAGTAGGGATAATCCCATTTATGCAGTACTGAGAAGACCTTTCATTGCAAATAAGTCATACAGCTTTACCATTTTGTAAAAAGTTGAAAGATATTTTACCACCATGATGAGGTTTGCATGACAAATGAAAATATTTTGCCACAGTAAATCATCACTTTCACGGAGACATAAGGGGAAACGCAACATGGGTTCAAAAAGCATCACATACAGATAACATATTGATAACACCAAAAGCTGTTCAGAAGCTACATTCCCCACACAGAAGCATACTTAAGTGCATAAATTCAGGTTTGACAAATAGTGGCAATACAAGATACAAAAAAGAGAGAGCTTCCCTTCCATTAAACAATTGCTGCTTAAAAACATGTCGGCACCACACTGACGTCTGCGCATGTTCTGTGCTATAAGACTACAGAAATAACACTGCATGTACATTTCTTAAAATCGAAATCCGAAGATTCGTCTGTCATGATAATTACTGCTTTAATAAAGATTATCACAACATTATTCCACTAAACCATGCAGTAGCTGGGAGGACTCACTACTACATTTTTGCAACAAAATCACGGTTTACATAATTTTGGTCAGTTTTTGTCAGATTTTACACCCTTTTACTATTCTTATCAAGAGGAAGCACTACAAGATCATAGATAGTATTGGTGGAAGCAGTTCAGCATCACAACCTTTGACAATCATTGAATCATCAACAGTATCAATGAAACTTATGAACGGATGTTTCATCACTGATATGTCTTATGAAAAGTCACAAATCTTCTTGACACTGGTGTTTTTCATCATAATGGCAATTCTCATATGTGTGCTCTGAGAAAACATCTTTTGGGGGGAACAATACTTCTGGTTGGAATGATGTAAGAGACGACAGAGGGAAATCATTCTGAGTCGAGTCATGTATGAAACAATGTATAGTACTGAAACTGTCTTGGCAAAGGTCAGAGGTGAATTGAAAGACACTGAAGTGAATTCCCAGTTCAGGCCCGGATCTACTATCATGGAAAACACTGCTGTAAGTGTGGGAAGCTCTATTATGTGCAGACATTTACTAGGACCGGCCATGCAAATGAAAACTGGCACAGATAATTCATTTTGAATTCCACAAAGCCAAAAGAAAAGCAGACTTTGCCAGAAGCAGCAGCGGCCGAGCTCAGCAGATTCTGTTCATATATTTACATCAATGCAGTAGCAATGCAGCCTTATGTGTGCTGTGCACAATGTAAAGTTGTAAACGCCTTTCCGGCTGTTTTATGGACATTGTGAATCCATACAAACTGTTCTTGTTGGCCTCATCTAATGAGCCATCTCAAAAACACAAATGCTGTTAAACCTTCAGCTAGATAAAAAGATCGAAAAACTCAGAACACTCTCGTCACATAGTTGTTGTCCCAACAGCTGTGTTTGGCCAATCCCAGAGCTCCCCTGTATAAAACCCAGGGCATGTGGTGGCGTATGCAGCGTTGTATTTAAAGAAGGCATTAAGTACCTTTACTCGGGTACACTTTGGTGCAGTGTTGATTTTCCTTCCATTCCAAATTTTGCTAAAAGGTACCCTGTGGAGTTTTTCATTTTTCACTCTATTCCACTGATCCACAGGTGGCAGTAACGCGCCTACAAATGCTGTCATATGCCAGAAAATGCAGAGAAGACAAAGGCTGCAAGCAAGTAAACATGGACACAAAAAAGGGGGTTACATTTTTTCAAAAAGTTAATCAATATGTTTTTCAAATGGCAGGAAGTGCATTCAACATTTTTGTCTGTCAAAAATAAATACATTGTAAACAGTTCTGTTTGGAAGAAGACTCCACAGAGCACCTTATAATACTTTAAACCTCAGGCATTGTAGAGTGGAAAATGTACCCTTTACTCCACTACATTTATCTGACGAGTGTAGGTACTGTATAAGTAATATTTAACATGGAAAACTAAGATTTAAAAATGATTGTTGAAGATGAAACCATCCAACAGTATATAAAGTAGTGAGCTACCATCTTAAAAAGCTACCACATTGAAATGCATGCTGATGGTACCCATTATCCTGTCAAATCAATATTGTACTTAAGTTAATTTTGTTGCCAATAATTCCATTCGTTTACATAAGTGAAATCTCAAATGCATGACTTTTCTAACGCAACTTTACTTAAGTTTAAGATCTGAATGTTTTTTTCAACCACTGTGTTATTAAACACAAAGCACATAAATCAAACTGAATTGTTTTATAATGCATCATTTGACCACCACAATCCAACCTAAAATTCAGACTGACATTTGTCCCTGCTGGGTTATAATCTATTCGCCCTGTCCCTGATGTTTTGGTGTTTGCTTAAATGGCTGAGCCTGTGCGAAAATGTTAAACGTGCTTGTCCTATAGCATGCAGACTCAACACATTCTCTTTCTATAATTTGCATTCAAGCCCTGAAACACTAACAAATGCATAAGCAATAAGGCAAAAAACACTAAGAGCTGACCCACATATTTCTTTTTTAGCTCAAATGCACTGTGTGCCGTTTGCAGATAAAAAAAGAATCATTTTGCATTTGCTGTTTGATCTGACCTTCAGTAGATCCGGGCCTCAACCCAGAGAGATGAAAGATGTAAGTTAGAGCGTGTGCATGTGTCAGAGATGAAGAAGAGGCAGAATAAGCTGGATAAAGAGAAGGACTCCTATTGAAGACTGCAGTGCATGACCCCGTCCACACTCTGACGCGTTTTCCTGCAAGAAAAGTCAATAATACATGTTCTTTTTCCAAAGCAAATGATTCATCACTTGTATATCAAGAACTTATGAATTAAGAAAGATAATGCCGTACTTAAAGCGTTTTATACTTACTAAGGCATTGTAGTCAAAGCATGATGCTGGGCCTTTACGATATCGCGCGTTGCTCAGTACTTCGCATGGATTCTCCTCCTGAACTGTTAGTGTTTTGTTAAGGGAGGTAACAGTGAACTTACTAGCCGCACAAGATTGATAAGACGTCCACTTTCAGCTGGAAAAGGATACACTCTGTCTTGATCAGTGTCAGTCTCTCTATCTCACATGAGCTGCAGGGGAGCGTCTCCGCGACCACAAAGAGGAGGTTGGTGTTTTCTATCCGCTTCGCGTGGAACAGCCTGTTGGAGACAGTGATGGATATTAATCAGACTTCCCGCAGAGTGTACTGTACGGGTATGAGAGCACAAACACTTTCTGCTGACGCTCCAGACAAACCCACCGGGAGCAGTTCCCGCAGTCCTGCAGCACGTTGTAGGAGTTAGTGGTGTTTGTAAAGTAGAACTGGCTTTGGATGGTCACACAGCTGCTTTCCCTTGTCTCAAAACCATCAACCAGAAGATCATCTAGAACACAAATATATCCAAATTGTACATTTTATATTATGTGTATTATATTCTTATATCTCAATTGGCTCTTTAACTGAGGCTAAAACTGCTACCGTTAAGTACATATGCATTTAAATGTTGTTTACGGTTATCATGGTTCAAGAACGCACATTATTGTTAACAAAATCCCCTTTTAATGGGTTCATCCTAGTACATGTTTAAAACAACAAAAGTTATCTGCTGATTAGATGTTTGTAAAAGTTAAGTTTTACCATTTGTTTGATTCAAAGGAATAAAAAGCGATTGAAATGAGCCTTAATAATCCCTCAATCCAATAATCAATGCAGATATAACAAAATAGTGTGTTAAGATGCAGACATCCACCTTGGTAGAACCAGCTGTTGTATGCCAGTCCATACAGGAGCTGCTGGGTCACAGACCTGAAAGAGTGTGCACAATGCACTTCATTAAAAATGAAATACAATCCGTAAACATCAATCTGTCACAGCTAAAGGGACATTGGGCTAACATTAACCCCTCTGGGTCCATTTGCAGAGGCCTTCAAACAGTTAAGATTGTTTTACAGGGCACCTCGCATGTATTGTGTCAGTTAACAGTGAATAAAGTCTCACCATGCCACTGTGGACGTCCACCAGGCCAAGCTGAGGATGTCAGCAATGGACGGCTGCAGAAACACACAGTAGTTACAGATAAGAGCTTTCAAATATATATATCAAAACAATAAAAAAGGCCCTGGATCTAAAATCTGCTGCTGGTCTCTCACCACAAAGATGCCCCTCGTTGCTGAACCCGTTTGGCTGTCGTTGACCGGTTCACATGCAGACTGGAAGTGGAAAGACTGACGGCGATTGAAGATGGAGTTGTTGTAGAGAGCGTGCATCAAGTAAGGGTCCACATCACCGAAGAAAAGGCCAATCTGAACGGAAGAAAATAATGGGAAAAAGAAAGTGCATGAGGGAACAGTGACACATACTGGGTAAACATAAACTGTATTTATGCTTAGTACTTTTGCTTCATATTTATTTATTTTTCGAAAACTAAACTAAACTGCTTAAACGTAAGGAAATGTACATGACTTCAGAGTAATTTAGTTGAGATCAATAATGAATAATGCATATGTATTGCATAATTTCTTCTGAAAGTAGATAGTGCATGGTATAATATGTACAAGCAAGCATATCACCACACAGACACAGACCTTTTTCCAGTGATCTCTCTGATTGGACATAACCAGAAATCCACCATCATCGAGGAGATAGCAGAGGAGGTCCTACAGACAACACAGCACAGTTCACACATTTACAGAAAACACTTTTATTCACATGCATTTTCCTTCGAGTAATCTCGAGGTTATAGGTGTAATTTATCCTACATTTTGAAGAAAAAGGTGTCTTATACCTGGAGTATAGATCAAAAATACTCCCAATAAACACAAATTAGTAATCAAAGTGGAAATGTCCGACCCCTTAACTTTTTGAAACGTGGTCTCTTTAACACTATAGTAATAACTCTGCAATTAATAATACAATTATAGTAACACAAGTGGAGACAGTATCTGGCTGTAGTACGAAGACTTCCACAGGCTAGTTTTAGAGTTATTGTGAGATTAAAACAGATAAAGTTCTTACATCAGTGTTCACTTCACAGTCCATCTCACAGCTTCTGGATGGTCCACACTGTTTTGACAAAATGTGTAATGAAACAGTGATGTCACTTCTGTCACAGCATATGTAGTGTAATTAAGTGATTCATATTAGTTAGTTATCGCCCTGTGCTGTACCTTCTGTGAGCCCTGTCGACTGTCCGACACGTTGCTGGCCAGGATCTTAAACTTGTCCACCCATGCCTCCAAGTCCAGCTTCACCCCGACCACTGAGTCAAAACATCCACCGGATCAGAGCAAAGAGAGGAAGAGGAGGGCAAGAAAAGTTTTTCAGTGAGAAGAAGAAGAAGAAGTACAGGTAGCTGAAATATCTTTAAACATATTTTAGATAAAAAACGTTTCTTGGAATCCCACATGACACAGGATGCAACATCAAGTTTGCAAGATAAAAGCATTTTTCTTACCTGAAGGTTTGAGCAGTTTGCCTCCTAAATTAACCTCCACAGCCGAACTAACAAGAATTCCAACCGTGCCGTTTTCTCCACCAACAAGGTCGTCCAATGCTGGTCGTAACAAAATGTGATTTAAAAACAAATGATTTGGACATGATTTGAACAGATTGTATGTCTGATGTCAGTATATCTTGACAGTTTTAACATATGTTTGCAGTTACTCACAGGATCTCGATGGAGCTCTAAACATGTAGCCTTTGTTGTCGAGGCTCCGTTTGTAGTAGTTTGAATTGAATGGTTCAGGATCCTCATCCCATAACTCAGCAGCTCTGTATCAAACAAAAAACACAAACCGTTAAATGTTTTAAGAGAAATGTTTATAGACAGAATATCAGTGGAATTACTGTATATTTACTAGCTTTAGTAAGTTCATTAGTGTTACTCACATATTGGGAAAAACACGTGTTATTCCTCCATCAGTGGACGCAAATACAGCCAGGAAGCCATACCTTTGAGAAATGTGTTTTTACTTAGCCATTTTGTTTGATTTAATGGTGACATCATAATAGTAGATTCCTGTTTCTGATGGTGTGAGAATGTTTTATAAAGCAAGTCGACTCACGAATTCAGGTCCTTGTTCTTCCAAACACGAGAGGCCAGCTGCCCGATAATCCTGGAATCCAAAATCAGGTTATGGATGAGGCCTTGGTCACCTGAGAGAAAAACAAGTGTATTATCTCTTTGGTGTCTCTGCAGCAGTGGCAAATATTGTAAACACCTAAATGCTGTTAACACACTCACACTCATCAGATTCTGGAGAAATTTCCAGCATGAGCGAGAGGAAGTTCTGCAAAAACTGGGTGTTGTTGTCAGAAAGATGCAGACGTTTGCAGTATTCCCTGGAGAAGGAGAATTAATAAGAACTTTTTGTACTTTCAGCAACACACTGAGAAAGAGTGAAATCAAGAGAGGAAGGTGAGATGGTCACCTTGGAGCAAGAAACACATGTCCTGAAGATTCAAAGGAGCTGGGCAGCAGGGACTGCATATCTGTAACAGAAACAGTATTTCATTTATTTAAAAAAAACTAACAAAAATACCAACAAATAATCACAGTTATCACATTCAATTGAAGTAAGTTTACAAAATAGAAAAAAAGACATATGTAATATAAAAAGGGTCTTAGACTTTAAACCAGAATTATTTGATTGTGCTGCATGACCATGAAAGTTGCTGTGATTGATACATAGCAGTTTTATGCAGAAATCACCTCAGGGAACAAACAACGTTAGATGCATAATACTATACATCTGTATACAGTCAGCCTTTTGCTTTCATATTTTCTTTGTGTTACTATTTAATAACAAAAAGTAACACTGCACTTCTGTACTCACACTGGAGCTGCAGCATCACATCACTCAGGTCTGCCTGGATGAAGTACTCATTGTAGGTGGGTAATACCAGACCAAGACTGCAGGTGGCGACATCCCAACAGAGAGAGCATGAATAAGAGACAGAGAGAGAGAGGAAGGGAGAGTGAATGCATCTGTGTGTGCAGTCTTCATCGGGCCACAGCTGGTTGGTTATTATAACATTGTAATGCTTACCTGTAATCTGTGCCGTTGATGGGAGTCCAGGTGTAACTCCTGTAGACGTCATCAATGTACTGCTGCAGTAGAGGAGACATTTAGGGACATTTCAGTAAACCCAACACAACAGGCTGCAGCTTTATTTTATAGAACATGTGTTTAAAGTATTTTGAAGTTGTTTTAATAGTATGTGTTTCTTCAATCCTTACAATGATGGCAAGACAGCTGATGACCGACATTTTAGCTAACCAGGTAAGTTAACGTTCTTTAATGTTGTGACTAAAGAGGCGAGATATTTTTTTAAAATATAATTAAGTAAAGATAATTGACTTGCCTCATCAATCGACTTGACAAGGGTTTTGACCTGCATTTCGCCTGGTCTTCCATCAATCATTTGTCGCCGGATCTAGAAAATGAAAACACAAATCCTTTTCTTTTTCAGCCACAACCATGAAATTAAAAACACGTGCAGTGGGGCCTTGCATTACCAGTTAGGCAGATTGTAAGCAGATGTTATTGTTTGCCCGGTAAGACTTTGAACGATAACAACAACAAGAAACAGGAAATGCCTGAGACATTTCAGTTTGACCTGCCACTAAGGCGCCGTTTACACGAGGACAAAACTGCATGTATCTGCATAGTTTCGCGTGCGTATAGCCCTATTATTTACACGAGGCCGATAGAAACGGACCCCACAAACGATAACGGGTCCCAAGGTGGATAGATTTGCAAACGAAACGCTCTGGGGGGTCAACCGAGTCCGTGTAATCACCTCTATACGAATATTTCCTGAAAAAATAACGATAGCCCCACCTAGCCCCACCTAGCCCCACCTCTCCTGCTCACTGCTGTAGCATGGCCAGTAGCCATCTGTAACGATCAACAATCAAAAATAGCTGTGTTAATTAAAGGCACAAGGGGTTCTTGAATGAAATATTATAAAAGGCAAACCAGAATTGTTAACGCCCAATATACTCCTCCTTAAACAAAATAAACAGAGTCAGATTTCATGCATTGATCCATTATATTGACAAAGGAGGATCTCACCCAGTGTTTGTAGAGAATATCTCTCTTTCTGAGCGCGTCCTCTCCACGGAGACGTGCTTCTTGGTCGGTCGATGCAATATCCACAGATTCGGTTTCTTTCAGTTAACTTCCCCGTTGCATTTATCCATATGCTGAGGAAATTACTATATCCCGCTGAATACCAGCAATCGCCACACACACCTGTCAGTAGCTACTGCTAGTGCTACTGCTACTGCTACTGACCATGCTACAGATATTAGTGCAAAATATACAGCTCCTCTACCACAACCATCAGCAACAAGTGGACATGGAGAATTGCATGTTGCTAAATCCACCGGGGGGCATAAACAGAAGGGTAGCCATGGCAACATTGCTGCGGGGCTGCTGCGGAGTCTTCTTCGCTGCTTTTGGTGTATTTTGTGGCGGAAGTTACAGCGCCACTTACAGTCCCGGCATATGTACTACAGCGTTTCCAGCGGTCTCGTTTGAACAGACACGTTAAATGAAACGAATGCATGTGAACGGAAGACTTTTTTGAATACGCATACTGTGCATAAACGCAAACGTTCCCGTGTGCACAACGCCTAGTGCTCACCTCCTCTTTATTAACGTCCTCCACCTCTGCATCCAGGAAGTCCAGCGTCACAGGCTCCAGGAGGTTCACCAGCTGGGAGGAGGCAAATTGATTTAAATTCACATCAAATATAGAACAGGTTAACCAGCATCATAATAAACTATGTCTTCCTGCAAACCATAGTAAAATATTTCTATTTTTTAAGTAAAATATACACCACCTTTGGTTGAAGATTAGGGTGAAGGAGAAGATATCCATTGGGATCGATGGCATATATGTATCCATTGGCTCCAAGCTGTTGATAAAAGAGAGGAATAACAGTGATGTGTTTGTCTGTTGCCTCCATCACAAGTACAAGTGAGTAATAAATGTATGTGATCTACATACATTGTACCGTGGTGTAAGTCGCTTTATCTCGTCAAGATGCACGTCGACTCCCATGACACCTAAAATCAGCTGATTCTGGTCAGACGAAAAAAACATCAATCTGATTAACTTGAAAGGTCCTCACGAGAACCAGTGTTTTGTTTGCTCCTTCGGGGCTACTGTAGAAACATGGCAGTGTTGCTGAATTAGAAGATTGTGTGTGTGAAGATTTCCACACACAAGTTTCCATATATCACACTATGATGTTGTTCATTATAGATCCTTCTCATGGACACATTCTAAATCTTAAACTTTAGTCCTTTAAATGTAGTAATTTACTAATCTATGATCTTATACAACATAGCTACATTTTGCATTTGACCAGAAGCTTAAACAAAACAGAAATCCACATTATTAAACACTTTCTTTCATATAAAAAAAACAGTTTTGTTACTTGTGAATTTCCATCCATGGTGAGATTAAACACAGGCAAAGTCCCAGTTACTACCATGCCAAGACCCTATAGAATCAAAAGACAAAACCCAGATTACATAAAATGCAAGATTACTTACTAACTGTGTATAATCTGTATGTTTGGTGCATTTATTATATTTGATCACATTTAGCCAACATGGTCTTGCAGTCTCACCAAAGCATCCTGATACACATTGGTCCACTGAACCTGCTTGGCTTCGCTGCCTGCCAGAACCATGGGGCGCCCCAGCACGTCCAGGTATTCCTGAAAAAACAAAAGGGATACGTGACCGACTGCAGCTCCAAAACAACCAACAACATCAGGCCACAGGGAGAAAGGAAGGGTAAAACACATTGAAGTAGATGTTTCTTCAAAAAGAGTGAGCCCCACAAGGAGAATTTGAAACAGTGAATGGGGATCAGCTGTGTCAGAGGCACTAGACGAACCCACCTGGGTGTTAATCCTTATAGCACAGATGGAACGGATCTCAAAATAGTAACCTGGCAAGCAACAGAGAAAAAAAGACAAACAGAGAGAAGAGAGCATGAGTAAGCGATGCTATCAGAAAAAAAAGAGTGGTGTTCATAAATATTCCAGATTTGACTAGATGTTACTCGACCAGTGACTCAGCCACTTCACTCCCGCAGAAAGAGAGCAGATTCCCTCACTGGGCATCAAGGTTTATCTTATTGTCTTAAATCTGATTGACTTATAGTTTCAGCTCTACAATGAAATCCAATGATCGTAAGGTATACTGGCAATTACCAGGTTTAGTCCTTTTAAAAAACTAAAATAACATTCATTTCATAAAACCACATTTTTCATAATGCATTGCATGTATCATCTTTGGGTATGAAGTTCATCACTATTGGAGGTAGCAAACCTGGTGTTGCTTAAGGTAACATATCTGATATATATATATATAACAACATAATAGGACTATTTAGTTTTAGTTGAACTCATAAAAAGGCAATAAATGAACATTCCTCACTCGGATACATCTTGTTCTCCCTCAGTTTGAATCCACCCTATGTTATCAGAATAATAACAAAAGCCTGCCCTCGAGGATTAATGTTCTGTGAGGACAAAAGTGAACTTTTTTAACTCTTCGACACCATCAATCACTCCATCCTCCTCACCCGTCTTGAAACCACCTTCAACATCACCGGCACTGCCCTCTCTCTGACAGACACCAGTTCATCTGCATCAATAACTGCAAATCCCCCACCGCTCCCCTCCCCCAAGGTGTCCCCCAAGGTTCAGTTCTCGGCCCCCTCCACTTCATCCTCTACCTGCTTCCCCTTGGTCACTTAATCCGCCGTTATGGACTTCAATTCCACTGCTTTGCCGACGACATCCAGCTCCTCATCTGCACCAAGTCCATCTCCGCTGCTACCCACTCCATCCTGACAAACTGCATCACTGAAATAAAATCCTGGCTTCAACTCAACTTCCTCAAACTCAACTGGGATAAATCTGAAATAATCATCATTGGACCTAAAAAGCTCAGCAAATCCATCCAAAACTTCACCCTCAACATCGACGGCTTCCCAGTTCCAACCTCCCCTCACATCCGGAACCTAGGCATTATATTTGACCAAACCCTCTCCTTCAACCAATACATCAAACAGATCACCAAGACAGCCTTCTTCCACCTCAAAAACATCGCCCGTCTACGTCCATCCCTCTCCCCCACTGCTGCAGAAACACTCATCCACGCCTTCATCACCTCCCGTCTGGACTACTGCAACAGCCTCCTCTATGGTTTCACCCTAAAAAATCATCAATTAACTCCAATACATCCAGAACTCTGCCGCCCGTCTACTCACCCACACCCGAATCCGTGACCACATCACCCCCGTCCTCATCAAGCTTCACTGGCTCCTCATCCCCCAGAGAATTCAGTACAAGATCCTCCTCACGACATAAAAAGCCCTCCATAACCTGGCCCCATCCTGACTGACCTCCTCCACAGACACACTCCCACCCGCTCCCTCCGCTCTGCTGCTGCCAACCTCCTGTCCCCCCCCATCCGGACCAACCTCAGGTCCTGGGGCGACAGAGCCTTCTCCGTTGCTGCACCCACCCTATGGAACTCACTACCCCAACCCATCAGAGACTCTTCCTCCCTCGCCGCATTCAAAAAATCACTCAAAACCCACCTGTTCAACAATGCATTCAACCTCTGACTATCCCCCCCCCTCTTTTATTTTTTTTATCTCTTTATGTATTTTTCTACATTTTCTGTTTTATTCTCTGTCAAAGCGTTTTGGGGTTTTTAGAAAAGCGCTATATAAGTGTCATGTATTATTATTGTATTATATTGTGCACAACTAAAACATCCTCACTAACACGAGTTCTCCTGAAAGATCAGTGTCAGCTCTCAGCCAAGAGCAAATCAAATCTCCGCGAACAAAAGTGACCTCTGCGTGAGCGCTGTGAAACCACAGTGGTCTGCTCACTGATCTGAGAGGAAGCCCATTAGTGAGGTCAGTGCACGGCACTCTACTTTAGACTCAATGATTTATTTATTTGTTCCTCTGTCTCGGCATTGATTCATAAATGTACAGCAGACATCTCTTTAAAAGTATGGACTGAGTGGGCAGCGATGAATTTAAAGATTATCTGCTCAGCTAAAAATACTTGTGCTCAATTTACTTTTGATGTTTTTTACTCAAGGCAGAGCACAGCCATTATAGTCAAATGTTTTAGAGTCCACTTTAAAACTCAAATAAAATCATAAATTAAGATATGATGAAACATATTTCACTGAGGAAAACAAACAGCAACATAGTATTGAATCTTGGTTTAATGCTGGTCTTTAGTTTACTACTATATCATTCACTAAGATGCCCTTCAAACTGAGTGAGTGAAAACTAGTTAGCAGACCATTGAGAAGTTTAAATAGTTAAAGTAACTATGGTACAAATGTTTTTCAGAAAAAAGGTGAAAATAATATACAATGAATAATTCATGTTAAATTTCATCTCACCCTTATTGGTGCAGGCGATCCACTGTAAAGGTGTGACGTCATAGTTGTGCTGACCCACTGAAAAGGTGAATACTCGAACCTTTGGTAGGACAAATGAGGAAAACATTTGACTCTTCAGAGTAAGATACCACAATTAAAAAAATGCCTGATGAAAGTTAAAGTTGTTATGATCAGAAGAAACCAACCGTTTTGTTGGGCCAGTTGTACTGCATGAACACATCCTGAGCCCTGTCTTCGCCTCCATCAGTAAACAGCATGATTATTTTATTGCAGTTGGCCCGAGGGACATTAGTCTTCTATAAAAGTACATTTAAAAGGGAGATGAATAAGAGAACAGTGGAAAGACAGAGTGTGGAGACGTCGGTATTGAAATCATTCCTAGTCTAAATCAATATATGACTTACATTTAACAGCTGGTTGAAAGCAAAATGAAATCCAGACTTGTAGTCAGTGGTGCCTTTAGCCTGTATCTGATCCACAGCATCTTTGAAGATCTTTTTGTTGCGGACGTTAGCCTGGACAAGATGTTTGAAGCAGGGAACCACGGCCTCGGCCTTCTCGTTAAACTGAAACACAGCAGGAGACACAGTTTGAGCTTTTTTATGTCAAGAGTGAAGGAAACAAGGAGAGCAAAGCCAAGGGACAGAGATGTTAAATGAGGGAGAATCAGTGATGAAGGGTCAGTGAGTGAAGCAGATTCTTACCCTGGCCACGTTGACATAGTCATCATCAGACAAAGTGTCCAGCAAGTTCTCCACTGACGCTTTGATGAGTTTCAGGGTGAGACCACTGACACTGCCGCTCCTGAGGACACATATAAGTATCATACCAATCAAATGCTTAGTTACAAACATGGAGCTACAGCAAACACACCTAAGAATATGATTTTACATAAACGTCTGTAGAATTATGCAGCAGCAAATGTTCCAGATTGGCTAATTATTTTGTTCCTAATCTAGCTGTCTAACACTTTGTGCAAAGTATTTACAGAGATTAATTTGTGCCCCACATGAATGGAGAATACGTGAGGAGAAAAAGCATTTCCGAAGACTTTTCACATGCTTCCTCCAGATGTTCAATCACAAACATGATTTCCCCTGATTAATCTACAGTGATACATTTGTTTTGTTTGGATTTCTTTCTCCTGTGCTTCGCAGTCCACAGAGGAAAGCACTAATGTACAGTTTTCTAATAGAGTGTTTGTTTTTACTAAACATAATTTTCAGCAGTGATGCTGAAATTGCTAGTATAAAACACCTTAATGTAAACCCCGGGAACATATGAGCAAACACTACTCAGTAATTATACTCTGATGTCCATAAGTACTGTATAAATATAGAGGCAGTGATTTTCAGGGTTTTGGCCTATACTTAATTCAGCAGTTAGAGATTGTCCTCTGTTTATAAATCAATGTTTCCTATTTGTGACTGAATATATGGCTGCCTTACTATTATATGACTAAGGTGTTATACATGTGATATACTGAGTTGACAAAAGGTCATTTTTGAGGGCAACTCTTAGATTTTACTCATTCAATTCAATAATAGGATAAACCTTCAGAGAGTTCCAATGACCGCCGCAATGAAACAACCACTGGGACATTACAGCGACAACAACAGGCTGCTGTACTCGACCCTGAGTTTGCTTACACTCTGCCAAACACACTGTACTAACTGATTCACCACGGAAACAGGAAACATTGCTCTGTTCATGTTAAGTAACAACATTCATAACATTCTGCTACTTAGTAATCATTTATCTATTTACCTAATATATCATTCAAATAGCTTGCATATAGACTCTTATTTCACTTTTTTTTTTTAACTATTCCTTTCTTTTTGCAGTTACTTTTAATATTTACTTGCACTATATTTTTCTGTCTTTCTGTAATATTGTGTTGCACTGTTGGAGAAGCCTGTGACTAAGAATTTCATCGACATAACTACTCTGTAGCTATGGTTGTATGACTAATAAAGAACCTTGACCTTGAAGTATTAAGCAATAGTTTGAATGTGGGGAAATACACATATCCAAACAAATGAGCGTGTTTCACCAAATTACTATTCCTTTAAATGGTAAAGTTAATTTCACAATAAACTGTTTGTTGTGGGGTTTTATCAGTTACAAACAATTTAGATTTTGCTCGTGACTCTTTTGATCATCTCTAACTTGACCTTTACGTTGTTACACATGATAAGCAATACGAGCTGCACTCTCAGCTGGTTTTGGTGCGGAGTACGTTTTTTCCACCACAACATGACTTTCTCTAGTTTAGCTGGGACCAGAAGCACAAAGAAGCTGCTCTCTTATGTGAAGTTACACCACACATGGTGTTCTCACTTCACTTGTGAGTTGGAAAGAACTGCAAGGAAGGCTGAGGAAAACTTGCCAGATGGATTTCAACACAATTCATTATTTAAAAATGCAGAAAAAAGGGAAGGTTTTATGTGTTTTGTTAAATTCACAGGTTATGCAGCAATAAAAGCAACACACGTGTGCGTTATGGAGGTATTAGATGCTACATTTACATGGAAGCTTATTACTAAAACCAAGAAACTTCATTAAATACTTACACATCCACAAGAATGACCATATCTTTGGGGGACGAGGCTCCCTGGATGTACCTGTGACAGAGGGAAGATAGTATGCAGTATGTTAATCTGCTGCACATGTGATAAAACATCATGAAAATGTGTCTAAAGCAGCATACTGTACCAGGGCCCCCTCCTGACGTCATAAAGGTCAATTTTATCGGGGGTCTTCCAAGGTGAAGCTGAAAAAATGAAAATAGGTTTTCCTCACACCATCAATTTGAGTTTGCTAACTGTTCAATATATTAAACACAATCATATCCACTAAAAAGCACAGGAAGGGTTATTAAAAGCTACCTGGGTAGTAGCGAGTGACGCCCGTCGCACTGCCAAACGCCTGCCACAGAAGGGACGGATCCTCCTGACTGTTCTCCATGAAAACCTTCTCCAGCGCCTGCGTCCAGTTCAGCTCATTCAGAATGACTGGAGCTGATGGGAGGAGAGAAAAAGGAACACACTAAAGGTGAAAATGGTTACTAATAAATTAATAAATGTCACCATGAATTTAGAATTTCATGTTAACAAGTTTTCTGAAAATTGATTTTTAAATATGCAAATTAATTGAGCAAACATTTGATAACACCAGGTTCATATTGATCATGTTGTTGATATGTTATAGTCAAAGGTTTTTAACCCACATTAAGATAAAACATTTTGTATTGCAATCTTTCTGAAATGTAAATGTGCATTGGGGCATTTTCTTATGGATTTAGGAAGAATCTACGTAGTAAAATAAACACCTAAATATGTATTTTCCACCATTCTGAAAGAAGTCATGTTATGATATATATATAATACAGCTCAATATCTCAAAATTGACCAGTGAATAAAATAACAATGTGTTTGCCTGTGGTGTCTCGCCCTAAACTTCTTAACTTCTCATAAAATATGTCAAATACATCAATCTAAATCACAAGAACATGGCGTCATTCTGTGCAGCAGGACAATTAATTAAATAAATAGTCATAACTTCACTTGCCTCCTTTATAAATATCTGTAGGAATCTGAACAGCTGTGTAGGAATAGTTGACATCGTTTTTGAAGTTTGGATCGTAGACAAACTCCAGCTTGATGTGCGAGGGGTTTTCCACCTCTCCTTCTCCATCCATGGAGTACTTTGAGAACAGGAGAAAACATACATGTCAGATAATCTTCTATCATCAGCATTAACATTAAAACTACTTGATATAATGCATTTTGCTAATTATTTTATTATTTGTTTAAATAGGACATTTTTTATCTTCGATTTATCAAATAATCTCCAAAATGCTGTGTGTTTGTCTCCTACTCACATAATCCAGCTCTGCCTTGGAGTCATAGTAAGCCATGTCCAGCTCCTAGGAGGAAAGATGCAGATATGCAGATTTGAGGAGGCTGTAATGTTGGCAAACATGAAGAACACGAGGGCTAGTAGTCACTCAGTATATACATGCAAACAGGTCAGGGCTCCCCTATACACAAAGAGGAGTTACAACTAAAGATTGTTCTGATTGATTATAATTAAACTTCAGTAAAGATTAACCCTATAAAACTGCATTTTTGTTTGCAGATTGTCTTCTATTTTCCTTGTAAATCTCTCATTAGCTTCAAATATAAATGTTATTTTCATGTTTTCAAGGAAAATCTATGATGTGAATAGTTTCAGTCAAAATATATGAATGTAGAATAAAGGTCTCACTTCAAAGCCGCTTATATAAAAATGTTTAGTTTACAATGTTATACAAATCAAGAAAAGCCTCACATCCTTGTATTTTGTAAGTTGTCACCACCAAGTGTTTGCTATTGTTTCTGCTCAGTACTGTCACATTATGACTCAGCAGACATCTGTTGGTCTTAGTTTCTGAAGAGACCTAACATACTTCACAATAAGCCCGACATCTACTCCAAAGCTTCTATGCTCCTATTTATGGCTTTGCCTATATTACATTTCAACTTAAAATCAAGTCTCTCTTTGTCGGCTGTGTGTTGCCTACGACCCGTCCTATGAGGAGTACAGCTCTGAAAACAACTTCAGCCAGTAACGCACAGTTAAGCTAACTCTTCTTGATGAGGATCATTGTCCGACTAACAAAAAACATTACCTTTAGAACAGTTCCTTTTTTCTTTTTATTCTTCCTCAGCCATAAAAACATTTAAGCTACAATTGATTTTAAATGTATTTAAATATGGATACATATTACAAATACTGGATACGTAAATCTAGTAGATACCGAAAACTCATGAGGTAGGAAATCAATCAGCAAGTGGCATGTTTTGGAAAATGGTCAACAGGTTTAAAAAAAGTCTTCATCATTATTTAATTATTGGGCTCAATTATGTAAAACTACCGGTGTCTTTTGAAAGGATAGAGGGACACAGCGACTGAGAGAAGAGGCTTTGAGAGGCCATGTGAAAGGATGAGGTTAACCCCATCTCATCTTGCTGGGCAAATGGAGGAGGCCGAGTGGAAGAGTGATGTGTTCAGGACTCAACGGAAACGCACGGCTGAGTGCGCTCGGTCGTCTGTTTCAGCCAGCTGAGCGCTGAGGGATCTGCTCAGCTGACTGGTGAAAATGTTCCTATTTATCATGTCGTCCCATTCGGAGCCACAACGCTCCAAGACATCAGACCCATCTGCTCTGAATTAACATCAGTGGTTTCATTTGAACGCATAATGTCCCAAAAACTTAACAGACAAATACAAGTTTTGGGGTTTGAATACATGAGAGGAAGCAACATCAAAAGCTCTCAATAATGCAACAAACATAATGTTATTTAAGTTTTTACCTTGATTCCATCCTGCCATACATGCTCTCGCTGGAGCCGCTCTGCTTCACTGGCTAACCTCTACATGTTGAACACAGAGAAACGCTCACATTAGAGGAGGAGGACATGTCTGATATTATATTTGTAATCCAGGGGGAGGAAGACTGAAGATTAAACTGGATAACTTCATTTGAAAATACAAACAAACATTTAAAAAAATTATAGGATTAAATAGTAACAGTTGCATAAACAATATGTTTCATATTTGTCAGAATTTCTTTTTAGAATGACAACGACAGAAGCATTTACTTACAACAAGTGCTTTGCGCTTCTTAGCCAGGAGTTTCTCTATATCTGAGGCCACCTTCTCCACAATCCTCCGAGGCTGATTCTTCACCAGACTAAACCGTCGCCTTTCTTCATTGTATATCTGTTGAATTAAAAAAACTAAAGTTAAAAACTGCAGTAACAGCTGAACAGTCAATTGATTAGTCGGACTGTTATGGGCTGTATCTGTGATGTGTTCCCTGAAAATGCTAATTTTCGATTTAATGACATTGTTTGTTCGCTCGGTCAAGCTGTCAATGAACCTTCAGTATTGTGAGACATCAGTTCCAACTAAAATAATAATTTTCAAGTCTGTATTTTGTACTGGTTTTTTTTTATAACTAAAGAATCAAACAGTTAAGTAAACGGATGAGGAGAATATCGAAGCCCCAGCATCTCAGAACAACCCTGATAATAATTATAATTCACAGCTCATGAATTTGCAAAAGCAAATCCTTTTTATATCCAAACACTGAGGACGCAGGGGAGCAGTCACATGTCGGGTTTGTCTGTTCAATCCAAATCTAAATATGGATCCTTTCATGTGACCTAGTCACAAATAGTGTCTGTTTGAAGGAAGTTTTCACAGATAAATCACAATACTGGAATTTCATACCAAAATGACCATCGTTGCATTCATTCTCTTAGTCATTAAATATTTGTTTACATAAAAGAACGCATCAACTGTACACAACATTTTATCCTATGCTGTTAGAGAATAATGAACTAGTCTTTGATTATATTTTAGCATCCAATCAGAATCATTGTGTGTCTCTACTTTGTAGACAGATTCCCTGCTGATCGCTTGGAGCCTGGCATATTCCTGTGTCCAGAGATAACACTTCCTGTATCGCCCTCAGGCTACAGGACCAGTTTTCCATGACATCCTCCATTATCTCTTCTCAAATATGTTTACGACCAGTTGGAGTTGGAAAAATATGCAGAAGGAAGGAGAATTCACCAGAACTGACCGTGGCTTACAGCGCGAACACTTCTCTGTGTTGTGTTTAATGACATTGTTTGTTCCCCTTGGCCAAGATGTCAATAAACCTTCAGTATTGTGAGACATCAGTTCCAGCGTCCAGCATCCTGTTCTTGTTTTTCAGTATTATTGCTTAAAATAATTTACATTTAATAGAAGTTGGTGTGAAATGATAGACATTTTAGTTAAACTGTTAACTTTGGCCAAACATAGACACATTGTGGCTTGGTCCAAAAAAGTTAGTGTGAGAAGTTGATGGAAAAACCTTTAGATCTATTTTCTTCCCTCTGCCAATAATACATGTCAGTTAAGGTAAAGATTGATCTTTATTTATGTTCCTATCTTACCACAAACATGACGCATATTTCCAAATAATGAGTCTTACTACAACAAACCAATAATGTAAGTAATGTAAAATAACTGCTTGCCCTTTACTTGACGTTCTGACTTTGACATAAAGTTTACAAGATTCTGCTCTTAATGCTCTTCTTCAGGGCAACTGAAGTTAAATCAGACCTTTAGTGGAAACACGTCACAGTTATCGTGTGAAATGTGGTCTTTCAACATTATTGCAGTAAAAGTAAGTATTTCTAATGATTTATTACACCAGTTTACTTTAAGGGTCATCAGGAGGCATCTGGCAATAACAGCATGAAGCAGCATGAACAACAAGAACAATTTTCTGAGTAACTGTTTTCTTTCAAATTCTACTTTTAGAGAAAGTTTGGTGTAGAAAATGTCGGTACCTCTTGGCATTAATTACTGCCTGTTTGCACATGCTGAACACGTCTGTTCAGGAACTAACAGGAGGACAGGGAGGAACTTTTATAGATTTTACTGGCGACTGCAAAAATGCAGACTTCTCCAAAAAAGAATTACACATTTTATGATATGCTTGGTTTTGCCTGCAATATCTAACTTCAAAAACACTGTTTACAGCAGCAAACAGACAGTGTAAGGTATTGAGTTCATGTACAGTCTGCCCAGAGCCCAGAGGCTTACATTTTTCAATAGTATAAAAACGGTGTCTTCAGCTGTATACTACTACACACCACTGTGACTGGAAGGTAAAAAGGTCCATTACCTTCAGATATGAAGGTAAACAAAGTGACTACAGTACTACTTTGCTATAAGCTTGCTGTCTAGCAGATTTAGGGCCATCAGACACAGTTCCTTGTGAAAAAATGACAATGGCCAGAAAGTGATATTGATTTTAGGCAAACCTGCATATCTTGAGTACGACAGCCCTCTACTGTACATATAAACAACCTTACCAAATAAACTTCAAAATATCCCTCAAGTTGTTACTGACCAGTTGCTTTATTGGCTCAAACCGCACAGATGGGAACATGCAGTAAAGAACAGCGTGTATCTGTGAACTGGCTGGCAAATAAGGAGTCCATACTATCACAATAACCCCATTACACTTAAATTCAATCCATAAAGCAACATTATGAATACCTTAAAAAATAGAATGGCCCTGTCCTCCAGATAATCATGTTTTCAGGCTTTCTTTAATCAAAAAAAGGCCAAAACTAAATTGTATTTCACAGAAAAACAGTCCTGCCAAACTGCAACAAAGCAGTCTGGAAAAATAAAATCCTGATTTAGAGCAGGGCTGTATCACAGATGGCATCAAGAATATCTGCAAAGGAAAATTGTGGCTTTATATTGGTTGAAGAATTGAAAAGGACGTTTGGTTTAAATTATAAGCGTTTCCTTGACCGAAGAAGATTGAATCGAGTTTTTTCTGGGCAGAGGCGAAAAAATTCATTAACAGATCCCGAGCCTTTCAGGAGCATGAGGGGATTAATGAGGACTGACTGAACAAGGGTGTCTCACATCGAGGCATTACTGCAGGCTGACCATCTGCTCTGCTGTGACACAACAGAGAGACACGTGGCGCTGCTCTGCTGAGGGAACGCCTCCACACATCTCCTCAGAGCAGGGCTCTCTGCAGATGATCTTTGGTCCTGTTTTATAGCTTTCAGCCTCTCAGGGACAACTCCTTGTGTTCAGCCACCTGTTACAGCATGGTGTGAAATAGCTGTATTGTATTCCCATCATGACAACTTCAATTACTCAGATCACTGTGAGAAATCAGGTGAAATAGGAGATTTGAGTAATAGTATTTGCCATGCATTTGACAGGTCTGAAATACCAGAGGACAGTTCATGAACTTGGTCAATTGTTCCACAAAGATCCTTTTTAGATTACATCATTTTAGGACTGCAGTTTAGTTATCAATAAATAAGCAATTTTGTTTTGCGTTTTGAATTTGAAAGAATCCTTAAATAATAGATTGATACTAAAAATAGTTGCAGATTCATCTATTGATCTAATGACTAATCTGATTGTTTCAGCCCTAAATTATTTCCCCCCAAAACACTTACTGTAGAGTGCAAAGATACAGCCAAATAAGTATCTTCATTTTAATTTCTATCTATCATTGCTATCTTTGTCGTTCTTGAAAGAAGACTCCTTTTTATGTGCCAAGCTTTCGAGATATCTTTCACACATTTATCCATGCTTCTTTTTTGCTTACACATTTTGTTGTAGTGCTCTCAGCATTGAACTTTATCTGTTAAAAATGTAACTACTGTAAGACATATCAAGGTGTTTGACAGAAAGCCTTATTCATACCACCACTGTACCATCCTTGACAAACACAATTTCTTAAGTTTTGACAATTTTAAGTCTTTTACAAGTATGTGTTTTATTTATAAATGTTTACATGGACTGGCCCCCCCCCCCCTCTCTTAGGGGAATTCATCCACAGAAAGCACACTGGACGCTGCACTAGGTCAGAAACCAGAGGAAAGTGAAGTCCACCGCAGACGGACCACTGTTGGACAAAATGTCCTCTCCATTAAAGGCAGCTCATTCTGGAATAGCCTCCCAACTGAGATACGGGATTGTCCCACTCTCAATAGCTTCAAAGGTCAACTCAAAGAATGGATAAGAAACAAACAGACGTGCAATCACCGCTAAATGCACTTTAACACAGGGGTATCTCCTCTTGCACTTTAGGTAGCTCTTTTATCATCTCTTGCACTTTATATGTCGTAGCTGCTATATTGTACTGCCATGTGGTAAATACTTGTATATGCTGCTCTTGCTCTTTTGCACTTTTTGCATATCATGTATTTTGTTTTTGCTATGTTTGTAAAATGTAAACTTCTTAAATGTTTTATGTGAGGGATGGAAATGAGCTCAAAGCTAAATCTGGCATTGTTACGCTTGACACATTTTTAATGTTTTAAGTGTTCATCACTGTGCATTGTCCCTGCCAAATAAACGATTAAAATAAAAATAAATAAAGACATCTCTAAACAAAGTAATTGTTACTTTGGATAATCCACAGACTTCGTTGGCCACAGTTTCTACTTTTGCATAAGACATGGGCCCTTTGAAAAAAATGTATTTTATGAGGAAACTTGTTTTTTTCCCTTACATAAATCAGATTACCTGGTTAAACCATAAAGATACATATATGAATGTGAATTGTATCACTAGTAACAATACTAGATATTCAACATCTATTCAATGTGTGTGGTTCTGTGAATATTCAGGCATCTCTTGTAGGAATAAAGCCATGTGTGCAAGATAATGACTACAAACAATAGATAACGTGCCAGCAAGACGGGATTTTATGTCTGAAATAATAATCATTGTGTTATTGGCTGATCACATATCTGCATATCATTAACACATTTAAAAAAAGTGAATTCTAAAAGGCAGACTGTAATTGTTTAATGTTTTAGCTATAGCTCTGAAACTCAATGGATTAACAGCTTTTTTTTTCTGCGCGGTGTGTTTCTTGTTGAGTTAATGCAGCACTATGATGAGTAAGACCTGTGTACTATAAAAAGAGAGCTACACACTCACCCCTTTCAACTGCTGAGCTCCAGTGATGTGCTGAAAGACTCTGTCAATCTCCTGCTCGATACGCCTGGCCCAGTGCATTATCCTGTGGATAAACATCACAGGCTGACTGTCACACCACTCAAACAAACGACAAAGATACGTGTGTGTGTGTGTGTGTGTGTGTGTGTGTGTGTGTGTGTCAAAGTCAAAGTCAGCTTTATCGTTATTATCGTTTCCCGCAGTCCTACAGAGTGACATATATACATCAAACAAAAAACAAAAAGGGCCTAGATAAACATGGTATACATTAAACAAAACAAAGGGCCTAGATAACCGGGGTATACAGTTTAAAATGTTAATAATATATTTAAGTGTTCAAAGTACAGTTTCAGTGTGTGTGTGTGTGTGTGTGTGTGTGTGTGTGTGTGTGTGTGTGTGTGTGTGTGTGTGTGTGTGTGTGTGTGTGTGTGTGTGTGTCTTTCACAGAAGTAAGCATTGATCCAACAAATAGCTGTTAATAGCTTATTAAAACCCAGATTAGGAACAAAATGCTTTATTAGACACAATTTATGAGGAAACTGTAAAACAGTGTTAATGGTAAAGTATAGTCAATTGAAGCAATCATTACCTCAGTGCTGTATTGACTGAGAAAGAAGCCGGTAATGTCTGACAACCCTGCTCACCTTGTGCACCTATCAACAATATCTATTTAGGAGAAGAAAACACTAATCACGTCAATTCAGGGCTTCTTTAAACGACAAGAGGAAAAGAAAAGAAGATTAGACAACTGGCTGTTGATGGGAGTAAGCCTTGTTGTTAATGTTAATATTGCTACCTAATCAGCTTTGTTGACTCATCATCATAATTCTGTGAAAGGATATTTGTGGAGCAAGGAAACATACAATTTGCTACATCCTAATTATATAAGTGTGTAAACAGCCTTAAAAACCTGCTGCGACAGCCAAGATCACATAATGTAACCTGAATTTCCTGGCAAATCCGCCAAAATAGAGCAACTAATGAGGCAGAAAAACTAAACATCTACTGTATGAGTGTTAAGTATAACAACTGGGGCAATTTAATGACAAGAATCCAGACAGTGACAGTCATTACGAGCAGCAACTGTCTCTTATTGTCAGGAATCTAAGGAATATGATGTTGAGCTATGAGGATCTTGCGTTGTGAAGATGCTCTTTAAACACATAACTGCAGTACTATGTTGGTTGTGTTCTTTTTTTGTTGAACTACACAGTGCTTGTATCCATCGTATCCGGGATAGTGGTGGTCTAATGGATAGTGAGGTGGGCTGAAGATCGGAAGGTTGTGAGTTCCCGCCAGGAACACCACCACTAGTGTGCCCTTGAGTAAGGCACTTAGCCTTCAGTTACTCCAGGGAGAATGTCCCTGTGATTGGTCATTGTAAGTCGCTTTGGATAAAAGCGTCAACTGAATTAAATGTAATGTAATGTATCCAACCCTGTGTTCTCACTTCTGAAACAGTAGGTGTGGCTTGAATCCTAACAATCTGTATTGTAAAGAAAAATCTAAAGATTCAAATGTGTAATAATTGTAAGTTTTGAGCACAATATTGACATAGTATAACATCTGAAGTTGATATGGTTAATGTGTTAGCAAACAGTTACACATCCAGCAGATACCGAACATTATTAGCATTCATTTGGAGTTGTGCCTCTGGCCACATGTGAATGTCACTAACTCTCATTCAGCTCTCCACAAAATTCCTGAGGGAAATGTCATGCTCTCTGGCTGCTAAATGCTTCACTGTGTTCACCAGCTAGTCTCTAACTGTGCCTGTCTGTCATATGCTGCTCCTTGGCAAGTACGTTTTTGAAACTTTTTTGCTTTTGAAAAAGCTGCATGGTTCGTCCAGAAACAATGCTATGAGAGCAGTGCTCAATTTTAAATTGGAGGTATTGCAGGATAATGTTTAATGCTCAATGCTCCACAGCAGAGATATTTGACGAGTGGAAATCAAGCAAGTTGGATAATGTGAAGATCTAGGAAAAAAAACATAAACGTACTCACCGACACCCTTTGTTTGATAAGATTCACAAAAGGGGCCGAGAAAATATATATAATTTGCAATGAACATGGCTATAGTGAACCTCATGTTGACGGTAGAAAGGCAAGAAGATTTGTATGTAGGTTTATCATTACCAATAACTTTTCTTGGTTCAATTGTTATCATAAAGATATCATTTCAAAGATGCTTATCATATTTTTGCTGAGTTGACATGGAAATTCAAGTAATTTTTTGTTGTGTTCAATATATTTTTGCATAATATTTAGATTAGTACTAGAAAACCATTCAGTAGATTTCCTTTGAACAACAAGTTCCGCTACAGTGGACTGCATACTTGATACTAATCCTTTACTGTAGAAGTCTCACAGTTTTTCCTATGCTTCCCCACATTTCATCCTATTGATTTTCTTTATGTCTCAACAATGTTATACTACAGTCTTTTGAAAATAAAAGAACAACATGAGCTGTTTTTGTTAGAGAGAGAAACAGTGCAGTTTTGTTGGAAATAAATCAAGTCAGCAGCAGAAACACCACTGATAACAACCACTGCGTGGACGACTGCCAGAACCAGATTTTTTTTGTGTCTAAAATGAGAACGAGAAAGAACAACTGGGTGATAAAAGGTTTTAGACCCTTGCTTCAGCACTCCTACCAATACCTCTGTTAAATGTCAACTCCAACACAGAAATCACACCCACCATCCGCTGCAAACCAGAAACGGCAGAACCACCGGAGCACTGTAAAGCACATGTGCTTCCAGCAGCTAATTTCCTCCCAGCCTACGCAAACCAACGCAGTGCTTCTATTATGATAAAAAGCTCACTGAGCATTTTCATGAAATGTGTATTTTTCCTTTACATACTGACATTGGAAGAAACTGGGAAACCAAACTGACCTTGTTTAAAGTGTGTGGACCTATCTTTCAAAGACACAATCCTTTCCACAATGACCACATTATTTTTTGAGACCAGAGAGAAACAGAAAAAGTGACATTTAATTTAACCCACGTTTTGAGACCCCCCAGCTAACTTACTTGACCTATATACCCTTGCTAATGTGTGTGTTGGCTGTGTAAATATCAAATGTTGGCAAAAAAACAAAACACAAATACATTAAACTGGGCCTATATACGAGACAGGAAGTGTTTACCATTTCATACCATTGGTGGTGGTTGAAATGCATCATCTTTGGTTAGCTTTGGGTTAAAAGCATCTGTTTAATGTCAGGAAAACAGATATTAGCAGAGGAATTTCTGCAGAGATTATTATACCACAAAAGAGACTAATCTCTGGAAAGCTTTACGAATATACTTGACAATGCCTGTATCGGGTTGTTTTTGGACCCAAATGCAGAACACTGGAAACAGATTATATAGATTTAATGTCAGGGTGAAAAATAACTGAGATGCAGCAGGCAGGGAGAGAAGTGGACTGTGTCACTGCCAGTCACCAGTGCTTGAGCTTGGGACTTTTCCTCTAAATGATCACTGGTTAAACACAGCGGAGGTCCAATGGCAATGAAACAAAGCAACATATAGTGGTAGTGAAGCCCATAGAAAATGGTCCAACACAAAAATGTCAAAATCGATATTTTTAGGTCAGAGAGTGCATTTGTTGAAATATATGGTGGTGAAGACAGAGGGGAGGACATTGCCTGAAAAGTGTGTCGAGCCAGATTCAACCCACGTACTGAGCACCGCATACAGGATGCCAGCTGTAACCACTGAGCTATCCTGTGGCCCAAAATGAGTGTTGTTTTTTAAAATTATTTACAGATAAACAAAATTAGGGCTAGTAAGAGTGAACTTCTCAATGTTGTCAACTCTTCTGGGTTATCTTTCTGAGACTATGGGAAGCTCACTCCAGAGCCACAGAAGATACTATGTGGCTCTGTTTTCACAGGTTTAGTATCACTGCTCGTAAAAAGTGCACATTTTAAGTTAATGGTGTGGCTGTAAGGTGGAAGAATAGCAGCTGTAGCAGCGCTCCCTAATACAAGAGGCAATCCATTTTTTAGAGACTGCATAATGTAAACCAATTGGCCAACTGATCACAAAAAGTGTCGTTTCAGCTGCGACTGACCATGGAGAAATCAATGTTTAGAGTAGACCTTACTAATCAAGCCAAACATGTATCAATATTTTATAAAGGCACTAATGCATTGAGCTCATAAAAAAAACCTCTGCTCAGTATTTCTTCTTCCTTAATGCGTAATCTCATTCTAACAGTAGCACACACAAACATAAAAAACATATAATATCAAAAGCAGCATCCTGTAGAATAAGTGTCTTTTATAGTCAGTGCATCAATGCCATGTTGAAGCATATGCTATTAACCATGGCAAACATTATTGCTTAAGATGCAGAATTTGATTTAAAAGACTAAAAAGACTCCATGTTTGCCCAAAACTTGGCACCATATCCTCAAAAGAGGAGAGCCTCACTGATTAATGCAGTCTCAATAAAGATTCTCACCTCCCTCTGTTCACCTTTCTCACCTCACTGGCTCAACCCTAATTCATCGGCCAAATGGATTAGAGAAGAAGTTGTGGAGGGCAAGACACTTATTTTAGCTTTCTACCTTAAATCTCAATACCCAGAAAGCACCCTTGATCTTGTAAGAGGGTGGATTCATTATCAGTCAGAAAGCTCCTGGCAGAGTTACGAGGCAACGTCACCTTAAAGTCTTGTTGGGCTTGTTTTTTTACAGTTGGACGAGCCACAAATCCCAACTCAATTGTCCAGATCTACAGAAAGACACTCTTCACAATGAGGACCCTATATTTCAATATTGTATGCTTCCCTGCTTTGTGATTTGAAAATAAGCTAAACATGAGAATGAAGGGCAGCCCATGGTTTGCATGCTTGACTTTCTGATAGAAAAGTGCAGGAGTGTTGTGGAAAGGTGAGCTCTAAGTGTTTTGGTTTTTTATTCCAGCAAAATCAAGACTAGTTTCTAAAGGGCCCCTGAAGATACTGTATGATTGAATGTCTCACAAGGAGTCTTCGAATAACACAGCACTTATTAAATGGGATTACTTTAGCATAGACCACCTCTGCTGATCAAATGAAAATGTTAATAAAAATGAAAACGATGCAGTTTCTTTTTTGCTACAGAGACATATCTCCAAATATAAAACATTACGCAGAACAATTGAGAGTCAGCATGTGGTGTTTCTCACAGAATGTGTATAAAACCATTTACAGTCAAACACAAAAGCCACTTAGGATATATTTTCAAGACCTTATATATTATATTGCTCTCTATTCCCATCATGTTTTCAGCTCATGTTTGGGTATTCTACTATTGATTAAAAAAAAAAAAAAAGGGTTTTAGCAGAAATGTAGAGCACACAGGCTCCCTGAATACCCCAAAAATATAAAAATGCAAGTGAAACGTTCATGATTCTTAACAGATGTATGCTGCTCTTGCTTCTGAGTCTCTATACTCTGTGCGTCAACAGCAATCTTGTAGGTTCATGTCACACTGTGTGAGATTGTTCTCATTAAATATTGATCACAATGTGTATCAGACTCTATGATACCATTTGTTAGCATGTCAAGTGAATAGTGCTTCTTGTTGCATCAGCCAACCTATTTTCCATCATTGTATGGAGTATTATATGTTGGTTTGTAGATGTGGTGGATAGCATCAGTTACATCGTGAGAACTTGGTCTTGAATTTAATGACATTGTAAGAATTAAAAGATGATGTTTTAGGTTACCAACACATGTTTAAAAGACCAGATTCAACAAGATAGTTGCAGCACAAATTAATTGATGTTGCACGTACAAAGTGTTGTTAAATTGTGTGTAAATAAAGCAGGTTTGTTACATGACTGTAGCCCGCAGATCTGCAGAGCCTGAACTGTGTGAGTCAGTGCAGCTGAAGCACAGCTCTAAGTTTTTTTTTCTGTGTGCTCCATTTCCTCTCCTCTCTGGAGCCCTGTGGGACATCAGAAAACTCTGTATCACATTCGCAGAGCTGCGATGAAGCGGCTGAACAGCACGGCGCGCTTGTGCCTCGACTCTACTCTGTTACCTGCTATACTCACACACCCCTGGGATGAGGCAGAGAGAAGCACTGTGTGATGTGACCCATATTCACTTGCAGCAGAGAGAGTGAGAGGTGGAGAGGCTGGAGCAGCAGAGCAATAGTTGGAGCATAAGAAGCAGAGAGGAGCCTTTACTGCTTTATGTATGAGAGCTATCTATCCATCTATCTATATATCTCTCTCTCTCTCTATCTATCTATCTCTCTCTCTCTCTCTCTCTCTATCTCTCTTTCTATCTATCTATCTATCTATCTATATCCATCTATCTATATATAGTACAGTGTATCAATCATGGATTAACTAACGATTCATCCATGCCTTGATTTGGAACAGATTTAATTTAAAAGATCATTTTGTTGATATAACATTATCTAAGTTTTTACAAATGTTAACCTTAACATAAACTATGATTTTTTTTAAATTTATGTTGCTCAAGAGTAACTGGGCTGCAAATGTAAAATAATTCATATTTATTAAATACAAATATCAAAAACAAGGCCGTCCCACATACTGACAGTGATCAGAGAGTGCGACAGGCTTTGTCCGATTTGACTCAATAATACTGGAGGAGCAGCAGCTCAATTTTTTTCTTTCGTCCACACTCTGCACTGTAGATATCGTTGAATAAATCTTGCCACCCTTTTCCCCTCAGGGAACTGGGACTGACTAATGTTCCTAATGTTGAAGCGATAGTTCATATTGTTTAGGTAAGGTTGTTTGAGATAATTCGAGTCTCAGACAGGTTTACCAGTATGGGCAACATAAACATTTCTGGTTTGTTCTCCGAGGTAAAGTCATCTACTATGGGTAGTACACTGACTATGTATAAATATAATAAACCAAAAACATGCGGGAAGCAGGATGCTTCTCCGAAATGTCACACTTGTTGGAGTATCTATCTATCAATCTATCTATCTATCTATCTATCTGCAGAGAAGGAGAGTAATGTAAGGGCAGAGTCAAGACAGAAGGGGCGGGAGTAAAGGGAGAGAGGGCGAGGGGAATAAATCCTCACTGCTGCAGTATTAATTCTTAATTGGAAAGAGATGCTGTTCTTCAGCGTAGCAACTCTGCTTCATTTAGCTTACATGAAGAGACCCAGGGCAGAGGGCTATGTAGCTATTTCATATCACTCAGCAGAAAAATCAGCAGAACAGAGAAGGAGGAGGAGGTGGAGAAAGCAACGACTATACCCTACTTGAAATAACCCAATTCATCATAAAACACTCACACACCTAGATTTATAGACCCCTTTCCTAATTGGTAAATACACCTCGGATCTCCAGTTGTGATTGGCCAGAAATCCCTCACTGTGTGCCCCGAAGATGAGAGGACCATCTGGCCTGCTCCTCCCTCCAGAGCAGAGCCTGGAGGTGGGCCCAGATAACTGTAGTCCCAAGTTAGTGCCAGCTGTACTTAACAGCAACGGGTTAAAGGTTGATAAATAAGAGCTAAGCTTGGGCTTGATTCAAATCGAGTCGCCTTTAGTAGGAATTTACAGTTAAACCACACCTTTCTTCTTCCTTACAACATGGTAGGCATACAACTGTACAACTGAACATGCTGTGAGATAATACAACACCGTTGATATTCGAAGGGGGTTGCAAGAGGCAAGTGTTTCGTAAAATAAAGAAACTTGAAAACCTGCATGGAAAAATCTAGTACTGGTGCACAGAGAGCAGCAGGGGGAGGCTGACAAAAGCCATTTTTAGTTTCAAAACAACTGCACACACTTAATGTTTCCTTTCAAGTAAGAGTCTCTGAATGCTTTAACCAATAAAACCCCTGCATGACCTGACTTACATAGAACTTCACTGGCATTACTTTGAAGTAAAAATACAAGTGAAAACCTCTCTCCATCCTTTCAATAACAGCTTAAAAAAAATATGAGTATATGATTAATGTTGCATTAAATAAACATCATCTGATTTTCTGCAATATGCCATAAAATATATAGCTATTATGGTTCAGATTATAAAAATGTAAGGCTAAAAGTCATATGTTAAAAGAGAGGCTAAAATATAGTTTTAATACAAAATGTTATCTGATATAAAGGCCAACTTGATTATCAAAAAAGCATTAATGAGGACTTCTGTTTAACTGAAACACTGAAATGTGATTGTCCATATACATATAGCCATGTAAATGATCCGACATATATTCCCATGTTACACTGTGGACTACACCTTCCACAGCACTGAGCATCCAAACCCCGTTTTACATTGATGAGATCGCCAACACTGTAAAATTATATAAGAGCAGAAAATCAAACAGTATCACTTAAGTATCTCTTAAACCACAGCTAAGTGGACAAGCCCAAAGTTGTCTCCCATCCCCACCAAGAAAGCCCGGTATGTTTTCCATCAGGGAGAGCCCATCACTTACGTGTATTGCTGGGGGAATGTGAGACCCGCTGCTCCAGGCCACGACGCGCTGAAAATCAAGATAATCTGGATAGATACCAAGCAGACGATGCTGCAAGACCCTTTGCCTATCGCCATTTTCCATTAACAATTCTCGTCACGGGGTTTCTGTGCGTGAATGAAGCTCTCCGGGGCATATAGATATCAGGATAGTGTGTCCGGCGCAGCTTCACTTCATATCGGTGTGTGTTGTCAAGTGGAAGCGGAGGAGGAGGCAGGCATTGGCCGCGGAGGCATCGCGGTCGGTGGGAGATACACTAACGCAGCTGCCAAGACACTGCAGAGTCTCTCCTGCTCCCACATATACACCACCACCAACACCACCAACACCAACACACAGGCCGGCGCGGGCACGACAGCTCTCTCTCTGATCAGCAGCAGCAGCGCGTCAATGCGCGTTCACGCTCACCAGGCAACAGAGGAGCAGAAGAAGAATCTGGTTTTATTTATCTCTGCATGGCCACGTGGGATTTGTCGTCGGCATAAATTTAGTTTTTATTCGATACTGAACGCTGTTCTTCAGTTTGGGGTACTGTTACTGTGTATTGAAGGTTAAGAAAATACATAAAACGGGGATATGATGCCAAATAATTGTAAAATAAGACTGACTGACTTGAAGGAGTAGGTTTGGCCTGTGGGATGCAACAGTTTAAGGTCCTTGAATGCAACATAATGAAGAAAGTGTTTAACTGCTTTTCCCATTCAATGCTTCACACAGGGCCCTAGATGTCACATGTCCAGTCCAAGTCATCTGGTTTTGGCCATTTCATTTGGCTTATATGCTGTAGGTTGTTACTGATTTGAAAAGATTACAGTAACACAGGACAATTTGTTTAAAACGTGTATATAATTAGTATGAGGTATGGATTTGAGGAATCTTATTGGCCTTTTTTCACAGCAGAGCTTTTGACATGGCATAGCTGGAGAAACACAAGTATAACTTATAACATTATTGAGGCAGTATGCATTACAGCGTGTCCATGGGACATCTACTGTAAAACCGAATGCAGTCATTGTTAATGTTACATTTGAGCTTCTGCTACAATGACATGTCAACCCGTCTGCTGTGAAGCTGCTATATATAGTCTGCTATTTGCATTGTTCTAAATGGGAGCTAGGAGGAAACAGGTTTATACAAAATGTGATAACCTTACAGGTTATTCCGCCATGCGCCCCTAAGAGACCCTGATGTAAAAATGGTGGCTATTTAAGGTAAAAAGTATAAGCCCCTGTGTGGTTCTGGGAGTGTGCAGAGGAATATGTTAGCTTGCCTCTGGCCTAAATATAGAATGGGATGTGCACACAACAACCTTTTTGCATTTTAACATATAAAAAATACATTATATATTCTGTTACATAATTCAAAGAGAGTTAAACATGTATGGAGATAAATACATAGAAAAGTCAAGTGCTGATATAAAAATATAACCGATTGTCTAAATAAAAAAACGATAAAAAAAATGTAACATTGTGACATTTATACATTTGAATATTAATAATAATAATGATAATAATATTTGTTCTTTAACTCTTTGTCATTTAAAATAAATTATAGCTAAAAGACAGCCTGCATTACCTTTAATGATGAAAGTGCCTCTGAACTGGTGTTGAACAGGTGGGCTGTATATAAATGGAACAAAGGCATTGCTAATGTTAAGTTAAGTCTGTTGATATCATTTATATTCTAATAAGACATTTGTATATATGTCTCTGATGTCCATCCTGTTTACATCAAACGTCAGTGCAGAATGCAGATTCAAGCAATTGCAACGGCCGATAACATTCAGTTGAATATCTAGCCTATTTATCATAATATCACTCAAGTCTACGGCTAATGCATATTAATGCAGGGACTCTGAAAGCTGCACAAAATGAGATTTCTGTCTAGGAAAAGCACAAACTGAGCATAGAAATAAGTCAATGAAAAACCTCAATATGATGTGACAAATACAGCCGGATTCCTCATGCTTTGTTGACATGAGGCTATCAATGGTGTGTGTAAAAACACATAACATTTGGGGTTTTTTAATAATAAAAACCTGAGTGTATTGTGAGGCTATCCTTATACTCTGTCACTGTCACCTTATTTAAATTCAACGTTCCCTTTGAAAATCCCCATTGTGAATACTTTTATTTTCATTGTTAATAAAAAAATGGTCAACTCATCTAACGGCTGTAAAGGATCTGTCGAGCCTACAGCATTATTTTGAAAAAACGGATTGAAATTTGGATATATTGTACACAAATAAAACATGTGGTAAACAGGGCAGTTGAATATTAAAATGTGTGTGATTGTGAAAATGCAAGTAATTTCATTAGTGGCTTGGAGGCGATAAAATAATGATTCCGTTTTGATTATTTTATAACCAGTTTAAGTTTGAAGTAAACTAATGTTCTATTTTATTATTTCATTAAGCTATTATTAGTACTCCTGGTGTACACTGTTTAAAAGTAGCTTTCAACAATGTACAGTTATGTAATCATTAGCCTTACAAGTAAAAACCTATCTAACATTGTGAATAAATGTACTGTATACATTTAATCACACGTGATTCCTCAAGGGCTTCAGATGTTGGTCAGGAGCGTTTTTACTTGTAAATGAGAATCCTTCACCAAATGCTCTCTTTAATTTAGATCTAATCCTCAAACCCTTCTATTTTCTTTCAGTAGACTTTCAGATTATGTGCTAACATGCCAACAAAATGCATCAACCACATTAAGAGTACTGGAACTACAATCTCTGACAGACTGCAATTAATTTATTTCCACTCAAGGGAGAATATTTCAGCTGTGCAGCAGGAGAGCACAGCAGAGAGAAATGCCATTCAGCTGGAAGATTTACAGAATGCATGTTCCCTCATACACTGCAGCATCTGTGAATATAAACAGCTCTGCCCAGGAGCAAGAAAACCAGAGAGCTGAGACTCCACACTGTGATGTTGAATGTAAAATAAAGCTGCTGTAAGGACAGCAAGATGGAGATTGATTTTGTGGATTCACACATTTTCCTGAATTTAAATATGGTGACGTGTTTCCTTTAACAGTAGTGTAAAGAAAATGTAATTTATCTCCCCCCGAAATGGTTTCCTCCCTTCTCATTTCCATATACTGTAGCAGAGGTTGGAGCCATACAATATTGATGCTGATAAGAGCACAGGAGGCTGTATGAGAGGGAAAGCAGGAGTCTGCTAAATCTCTCCATTATGTTTAAGCTCCCTGCCCCTTGACCACATGATCCTCAGCCATCTCGCCTCAGAGTCTCTGTTATTGAGTCTGATCCTGACCCCTGACCGCGGGAACGAGAGGAAGAGGAAGCAACTGTCAAGTATTTTTTATATCATGAGAAATATCGAAAATATCAAATCCTCGAAAATCCCTTTAAAACAGTGAGATGTGGAACTGTAAAACAGCCCCTTTGTTTTTCCGCAGCAAGGCATTGAGATGGACAGGATCACCCGACAGGATGAGTGCACCTATTCCTGCCCCCTCTGGGAGGAAGGATGTGAGTTCAGCTTTTAGTCGTCTCCCTGATGGCCCCATGTGCTAATACTGCTGTCATGTCCTGGGGAGAGAGAAGACTAATTACTGACTGCACAGTCTTCCTGCCAGGTCCCCCTTGGTGAGCCATACACTGTTAATTGGACGACAACTCCAACGGGAGCTGAACTGTAGATGAGACCGACCTTTGCCTCATGTAAACAGCATTACACATGAAAACACATTTTTAATTTCCCCTATTGTACCTTCATAAAATAACATCGTTATTAACACCAATTCTCCATTTGATGTACATAGTTGAAAGCAAGTTCTATTAAATAAATGCAAATCACTTTTCTTGTTAAGGGTATTTTCTGTATAAATTGGTTTAGCTTGGCTGGCTATGCAGTGATAGTAAGGCAACGCTAATCTGTCTGGTTCTCAGCTTTTAAAATAGATTCATTTGGGTTACTCTGTCAGAGCAACGTGAAACATATCATTCTACCTTATGTTAGATATTTGACTGCATTAAAAGGTAAGGTGGGTAATGTACTTTAGAATAATGTATTGTTAGATTTTTTTTTAAGGCAAGGCAAGTTTATTTATATAGCACCTTTCAACACAAGGCAATTCAAAGTGCTTTACAAAAAATGAAAGACATTAAGAAAATGGCATTTAAAATCAGTCATTAAAAAGCAAAGATAATAAAATAAACATTAAAAGAAAAAATACATCGATAAAGGTTACAGTTTAAGATGTGAATAGTTCAATTAAAAGCAGCAACAAAAAGAAAAGTCTTTAGCCTGGATTTAAAAGTAGTCAGAGTTGCAGCGGACCTGCAGGTTTCTGGGAGTTTGTTCCAGATATTTGGAGCATAATAACTGAACGCTGCTTCTCCATGTTTAGTTCTGACTCTGGGGACAGAAGGCTGACCAGTCCCTGAAGACCTGAGAGTTCTGGATGGTTCATAATTTAGCAGTAGGTCAGAAATGTATTGTGGGCCTAAACCATTCAAAGCTTTATAAACCAGCAACAATATTTTGAAATCAATTATTTGACACACAGGAAGCCAGTGTAAAGACTTCAGAACAGGAGTGATGTGATCCACTTTCTTAGTGTCAGTGAGGACTCGAGCAGCAGCGTTCTGAATCAGCTGCAGCTTTCTAATAGATTTTTTAGTGAGACTTGTAAAGACACCATTACAGTAGTCGAGTCTACTGAAGATAAAAGCATGGACAAGTTTTTCCAAATCCTGCTGTGACATTAGTCTTTTTATCCTAGAAATATTCTTTAGGTGATAGTAGGCTGATTTAGTAATTGTTTTAATGTGACTGTTGAAACTCAGGTCAGAGTCCATGACTACACCTAGATTTCTGGCTCTATCTGTTGTTTTGAACATTGCAGACTGAAGCTCAGCGCTAACTTTTACACGTTCTGCCTTGGCTCCAAAAACCATTACCTCAGTTTTATCTTTGTTTAATTGGAGAAGGTTCTGACACATCCAGTCATTGATTTGTTCAATGCACTTACTCAGTGTTTGAATTGGAGCATAGTCTCCTGGTGAAATTGTTACGTACATTTGTAAAAAACAACTAATTTTGTTGTTTTTCATTATCTGAGCCAGTGGTAGCATGTAGATGTTAAAGAGAAGAGGCCCCAAGATGGAGCCTTGAGGTACCCCACATGTCATATTTGTCAACTCAGATGTGTATTTACCTATAGAAACAACATTTTTTCTGTCCTTTAAGTAGGATTCAAACCAATTTAGAACTGTTTCCGAAAGTCCCACCCAATTTTCTAGTCGGTCTAGTAATATGTTGTGGTCAACAGTGTCAAACGCAGCACTGAGATCTAATAATACTAACACTGAAGTTCTGCC